GTCGTTTTTAAGGTGCCGGTAATTTCTGTGATCTGTTCAGGGGGGTTTGTTCCAAGTTGGCATACGAACTTTCTAATGTAAGCCGTTGTCTATAGTTAGCACTGTAAGTAATGCATTTTGCCGAGTCCCAGTCTATGTTGTGCTTTGTGATTCGGTGATGTTCGGCAATGTGATTAGTACTTGTCGTAACGTTGTGATTGGTTTATGTGCGACACGTATGTTTTATGGTCGTAAGATACGCGAGATAGTCTCAGACGTACCTTTGATGTAAGGTATTGTTGCTGTTGTCACTGAGTTGTTCGTTTCGTTGGGTTCGTTGGGTTTGTAAGTGTTTCGTTTGATAAAGTCAGAGTTATAGTTTTTGACAAAAACAACTGTAAGGTATCGTTGCTGTTGTCACTGAGTTGTTCGTTTCGTTGGGTTCGTTGGGTTTGTAAGTGTTGCGTTTGATGAAGGCAACGCTACCTTAGATCAAAGGTACGTCTGAGACTATCTCGCGTATCTTACGACCATACAACATACATGTGCAACATAAACCAATCACAACGCTACGACAAGTACTAACGAACATAAAGTACAAAGAATAACCCAGTGAACGACAAGCTGCAGTTTACCAAATAAACTGCTCCGACTGCCACGCCTCCTATATCGGGAAAACTGGCAGGAACTTAAACATAAGACTTACTGAACACAAACGAGCTACTAAGAAACAAGACTAAACTAATCACATTGCCGAACATCACCGAATCACAAAGCACAACATTGACTGGGACTCGGCAAAATGCATTACTTACAGCAATGACTATAGACAACGGCTTACATTAGAAAGCTGGTATACCAACTTGGAACAAACCCCCCTGAACAGATCACAGCAATTACCGGAACAAACGATCAACTAAAAACATTACACTTCACACTAATTCAAAATGGCAATACACAATTGACACCCAAACATTACAACTAAAAACATCACATCTAAATCAGACATCACAACTAAAAACATTTCACTTCGCACTAATTCACAATGACAATACACAATTGACACCCACACATTTCCTGTACACACAATACAATGACGTAAAAACCAGATAACAAATACGGCTAACCTGACATTTACTCCTCATTTGACTCTGAAGATGACTACCGCTAAGTTTATCAAAACGTCAGTCAACAACAACAAAAACAGTCCTTCTCAGGACTATACCAACCTAGACGATATGCATTTACAAACATTTAACGATAGTCCCGGGTTCAAACCATTTACTTTACACCAAGATTTATTATTATCGATAACAAACCTTTCCCATATAAATCATACTAGCCCTGTGATGCATTTTTTGTTTGCAATCAAATCAGAAGTAAAACAATATAAAATTTATAAATAATTTTCTTGATGTTATTAGGTGGTGGAGGAGGTGGATTTTACAGCAATGGAAGAAGTGGTAAACAGTTTGATGGTACGTATGGAAATGGAGGAGAAGGAGGTTTTGCTTTTATAATTGGTGGAGCAGGAGGACGTGCCTGGTATAACAATGCCTTTGGTGGATTTGGAGGTGGTGGTGGAGCATATGGCGATGGTGGAGGAGCAGGAGGAGGAGGTGGTTACTCAGGTGGAGCATCGGGAGAAAATGTGTCCGGATCTTGTGCTGGTGGAGGTGGATCTTATAATGCAGGAAAAAATCAAGTGAACAAGTCAGCCTTTATTGACAAAGGAGACGGATATGTCATTATCACTCGAAAGAGATAGATTAAATTATCTTAAAGTTGTGTATTTTTTGGAACAACATTTTAGTATCTTGTTGTATAGTTTAGAACTGTCAAAAACAACATTTTTCGAAATAATAGTTTACCTATCTGTTAAGACACAAATTGCGGTAGTCAACCTGAATCAGCACAATATTTACCTATATCTATAAATACGAGTAAAATTTTTGTGTATTGACAACATTTTTGTCAAATTGCAATGTTTATGTAATAAGACTTTATAGTTGCTAGTTTGCTAATCCTTTATTGATCTTGCTACACGCAATAGGACATATACCTGAGTCTTAACTAGAAAGATAATTCGGGATGTGCATATCTACATATTCCGTTGTGCCCTACTGATTTCTTTTGAAAGTTAATTGAATTTAAAAAGAATCAGTAAGGCACGACAGAGCCCAGACTCGGAGCTCATCTATGGCAAATACAATTGATTTATTGCATGTTTCAATGGAACTTAACAAAGCCAACAATAGTCAGCCTACAGTGAAATATACAAGAATGATCGACAGGGTATTTGACATTCTTAATTCTAGATCTCCTCAGCCTTCTGAAAAAAGAATCTGAGGTCACATGGGTGTCATGCGAATAGAACCTAAAATCAAGAATGGACATGACATAAACTCAATCCAGGTTAGTACATTCCTGAGAAGATCATCCATCCAGCTTAGTACATTCCTGAGAAGGACTGTTGGTTTTGATGTTGACTGACGTTTTAACAACCTTTGCGGTAGTCTTATTCACAGTCAATTAAGGGGTTAAAGTCTGGTTTGCCATTTTTGTTGTCTGGTTCATGCGTTATCGTATTGTGGGTAGAGGAAAAGTTTGGGTGTCAATTGTGGATTATAGATTAGTCTGAAAAATGTGCTGAATTGTTCCTCTGTTATAGGTTGTAAATAAGTCGTTTGTAAGGTGCCAGTAATTGTGATTTGTTCAGTGGGTTTTGTTATACCAACTGTGTAACGTAGGCCATCGCCTGTAGAAAGTGCTGTAAGTAATGCATTCTGCTGAGTCCCAGTTTGTAAACTGCAGATTGTCATTCGTTTTGTTGTTCTTTGTCCTTGGTTTCTTGTCTTTCTCCTGTACTTGTTTGCCCAGTTGGCGATGTTCTGCAATATGGTTGATTTTGTCTTCTTTCTTTGTTCCTTGATTGTGTTCAGTTTGTAAACTGCACTTTGTCGTTCGTTTGGTTGATCTTTGTCATTGGTTGTTTGTCCTTTGTCCACTGGTTGTTTGTCCCCTTTGATATTGATGATGCTGATGATGTGGGATGTTTTACCGGGAGAAAATTTTTAGCAGAAACGTACATTTACTTTTTTTTTATGATCGTCTTTCGATATTTTTCTGAAGATTATTCCTGTTTTCACAAAATATAAACATTATATAATACAATAAAGAACGACCATAGTAAATAATATATTTGCTAAAAGTTTCATGTTCGTGATGAATTAGCTTGCGAGGAATTCGAATTAACAGACACTCTATAGTATGTATAAACATGTCGATGATTACATACACTTAATATTCGTGCATGATAATCATAATGCACTGTTAATTTCAAGGAGTTACTTGAAATTAACAGTGCATTATGATTTTAATGTGAAATAGGAGAAGATTTTAATGTGAAATAAGGATACGCTTTAAGTTTTTTACTGTTGTTACTCTTTAGTTAAAAAACTTTAACTTTTGTGATGCATTTATCGTAGTCGATAATCATGCTCGATTTAGTTCTCATTAAAACGTTAATTTTTATTTGCTAATGTATTGAATTATGTTGTTTAAAAGTTGATTGCTGTGCAAGAGTAAACGCTTCAATAATTTTGACAACAACATTGACATTTTGACCAAATTGTCGAAAACAGCAAATAGAAAAATTGTTTGACTGTTTTGTAAATCTCAAAGCAATATGCTTACAAAAAAAAATTTTATACTTTTAATTGATTTCACTTTTTATTCTCTACATTAGAATTATAATATAAATGAACACCTTATGAAGAATAAACAGTTATACCTTTTCATTGCGCAAGTCAGTGATATATATTAATGAATTAATGATTGCTGATAACCGGCTTTGCGTCGTTTTTGGTCAGAAAATGCAATTGCTACCATTATGGTAACTAAGAGATTCGTCATCCGAAAAAATTCAATGGAATAACTGCTTGTTTCCTTACCTTGCACCTGTGTGTGTAGTTTGCAATGCATTTTGGTAGTTTGTTAAGCGAACTTTGGCACTGCCGAAAGGCGGAGGCTCAATGTTTTATAAACAAGATCTTTTTTATCTTGATTGCGCTATATCAAAAGCTATTATCAGCATCTTTTGTACAACAAATTATAAAAAGGGCTGTTGCTGGAGGCTCTCAGTTTTTATACCTTGTGTTTGCTGTTTAAAAATCGTTTAAAAAAAGAATGCGAAAACATGGTCTACGCTTTCACTTTGTCGATAACAATTAGGATTTTAAAACAAACAAAACTTAATCTTTTTTCCACTTGAAGAGAAAAGCATTAAATTAAGGAGAGATATAAGGACGGAAATTGATGATATGCTCACTCTAAGGGCAGTTTTTGTTACTTTAGGCTTTATTAAAGAATTGATAAAAAAATGATCCGAGTGATCGAAATAGCACAGAATAATTTTTGAAAATATTTGCAAAATTCTTCTATTCTGAAACTGAAATCACTACCTTACGTCACGATGCAAAGATGCGCCGCCATATTGAACAGTCCCACTCATAAGAATAATCTATAGTAAAGAAACACGATTGCAATGAATTTTGGAGCGCTTTGTACTAATAAACGCTAAAAAATCTTTCCACGTGAAGCTGTTTTGTCAAAAGCACCATAAGAGACGCTTCTCGCAATTTTTTGTAGCAGAAATTATTATACTTTGTATGTCAACCTCGTGATGTAAGAGTTTTCAATAAGGCGGCCAATCTTCACTACCGCCTTAAATTCAGTTAGTGATACGCGCCCTGTAATATACATATCAATGGCTGGTGCCCAGGATTATTTTAATGATATGGATATAGCATAATTGATAGATTTATAAGGCAAGCCTGCATGTAAAATATGTGATCAATAATATCAATACAGAAGGTGACGAGCTGAACGATGTCTAATTAGATTTCTTGCTCAGACTTAAGAGCTCAGACAGCATGTGCATGGATTGAAATGTGAAGATCTTAAAATGCTCAGATATTATTATTATTTTACAATTAATGTCAATGATTATCACTTGTTTGGTCTAATCGATTTAATTTAGCATCGTTCTTGCAAATAAATACTTGCCAGAATTACAATCTTACTGTGCTTTATACTGTGCCTATAAATGAGCGTTATACCATGTATGTATTTAAAAAGTCTGCATCGAGGTTTAGTAGACCGGGCACTCGACTGCCATTTTTTTACCGTTACGTATAAAAGCAACTAATTTTTCGAAAAATACTAAAAATCAGTTGAATTGTTTTAAAAAGTAAGAAAGTTAAAAAAAGCCAACAAAGAGTTTTATCTATTTATGTGCCCAACCGCACCCAGTCTTGTAGCAACCACACCCAGTTAAACCAAAAGCCTTCAAAGCTTCATCTAGTCGAAGGCAAACATAAGTATTGCTTTCTTTTTCATTTTGCAAAACGCCGTATCCTAAAGGCACGTTTACCCCTCTTCTTTTATCCTCAAAATACACGAGAACTCCCGAATCACCATGTCGAAGAAAATCTTCGCTACTCTCCACCCTAAGAGCATTTTTAAATAGGAGTTGGCCATTGTACCTGCACCCATAGTTGATATCAACAAGTTTTCCTGTTTTGCTGCAACCGTTCTTTTTCATTTCAACACCTTTTTTTTTCCTTATTTTATCGGGCAATCTATCCCATGTTTTATTCCATTGACGAGGAATATCTACGTCGAAAAGAGCTTTAGTGCAATCAATGGACGGATCATTGGCATCATTTTCAACCTTTATTACCATTATGTCATTTTCATCATTATATTTGAAGAAGGCTTGCTCACCAAGTCTAATTTCATTACCTTCAGGGGAAATATAGAAATATTCACTGCAATTGGTCAATCCAGCTTCTATTGCTTTAAGTGATTCATATACTTCTTTGACGTCGTTAGGTGAGTTAAACGTTTTTTGACATTCTTGACGATCAGAAATACATGCTACGTGGGCACAAGTCAAGGCGAAATGCTGTTTCTCTTTGCAGCAAAACATAGTCAATGTGCCATTTGAAATCCGATGATTATCATAAACATCATTTTGTTCAGACAAAGTACAATGCTTTTGTTTAACTTTTATGTTCGATAAAAGTCGAAATTTTGGTTTCTCCTTTAAATCTTCGATACGAAATTCAAAGTATTTAGAATCCTCTCTTCCAAATTCATTCTCAATACATCTAATTACATCTTCTTTTTTTACATCGCTCGCGGTCACATAAAAAGAAGGCTTAGGAAGCCATTTTATTCCAAATTCTCCGTTCAACCACGAAAAACTATAAATAAAGACAAAAAACAGAAAGAAGAGTAAAACTTACACTAAGGATTCACACGTCATAGTATTTTTCAACAGAAATTCGAAAATGGGAATGTTTTTAACTTTTCCTGCTACACGATAAAACAAACTAGGTATTAATAAGTAAAAAAAATTCATACTGTAAATGATCAAATAAACGCTCTCTGTCAAGTAAACGCCTTCCATTTAATAAACGACCACTACTACATTACATTTATGATAATATAATAATTGTATTGTATTATCATAAATGTAATGTAAACTATGTATTTCGTCTTAGTTTTGTTTTCATTCTTTACAATATTACAATAAAATTTAAAAAAGACACCTTTCTCTATAAAGCGCTTTGTATCAATAAAATGTCCTCCCCTGCAGAACAGCTAAATTTTATTAAACGCCCCGAGCGTTTATTAGATCATTTACGATGTTCAAAAACATTTAGCTAACATCTAATTGGTTTTGATTGCCACAATTAATGAATTCACCTATTTAGTTTTTTCCAAACTTCAGGACGGATCTTGCAGTTTTCATCAAGAAATTTCTTTTTGAAGTCAGCAATGTCTTCGTCTTCGTCTTCGCTTTCACTCGAATCGTCGGTCTCACACTCTTCTTGTATTTCCTTGTTTGTATCTGCAAAGAATAGTAATAACAGTAATATCATCCATAACGAAAATTCTGTATCTTATTTATTTTAGTAATGAACCACTCATATATAACTTAAAACTACGTCATAATTACTTTTGAAGGCAAAATTTATTCTTTAAATGAAATTAGCCAGACATAGCAGAATATATGAATGTGTCCCCTTGCACATATACGAATGACGCCAAAGATAGATTTTCTAAAGCCTTTATTTCTAATTAGTGTTCCATCAGTATAATTACATTCTGGAGGAGCCTAGAGTTGAAAGGTGGTTGGAAAACTAAAGTTTCTGTCATGGTTAGACTATAATTTTCTGAGACTAAAACAGCCCATTCATTTTAAAAAATATCGTAGTTACTTTGTAAACGTAATATTTCCCAGTGGTTAATTTTCTTTTGCCTCTTGAAGAATATTTGCTCATTTGAATTGATTGTTTTAATTTGAACAGTACGCTCTTTTCCATCACCTTTGTAAAAGCTCTTTTTCTTACTCGTGTTTTTAAACCGCTGGCAATTTGCCGCATTGTCGAAAACACATGGATTTTAGTTAAAAAAGTAGTTGTACATAATAATGACCCAGAAGGTTATCGCAAAAAATTTATGTTTGCTAAACGTTTTTTGAAGGTTTGCGAGGCTCGAATCAACACTCTTAAGGTTCTTTTCAACTTATCGCAAAACGTACTCGCAAGCTCGCTGCGAGTGCCTGGGAGTTACTCACAGCGAGCTGACAATGAATTGCAGCATTGTTAAATTATTTGAACAAAATTTTTTGATCGCGCGAACAGACTCGCAAGCTCGCAGCGAGAGCATTTTGCGATGAGTGGAAAAGAACATTTACACTTCCAATATTTTTTGGATGCAAAAAACAAAAATCGACTCAAATTATATTTTGATTGGATGATGTTTTTTATCAGATAGCTAAACGAGTGTCGCATTATCAAAATCCTGTTTTGCCGCCTGTGACCTAAAAAATACCAAAACTGTTTCTTTATAGTTAGATTAAAAAGTTTCAACTGCATTTGTTTGGGTATATTATTCAATATTAAATTGCTACAGAACCATGGATAACTGTTTAAGACATTTAACTTCGTATCTTTGATTTCCACTCTTTGTATTTCTTTCTAAGTGTATCGTTTACATTAGTCATAATGAATTTGATGTTTTCCAGTATAACATTATGTTCCATGTCATCTTACCACTTCAAAAAGGTTTTAAAAACGCGAGACTTTTCACATTACCTGAAATTACTTAACATCAGTGAGGGAGGGGGACAATATTCATACATTCATGATTCTCCCAAGAAAACAAAAAGGCGGAGAGTTTGCATGAAAACACAAGTGTTACAGGGAAACTTATACTTTTCACAAATTTACTACACTTGACTTGGTGTGTTATAGTGCTACAGTCGTTTCAACAATAAAATGTTTTCGGAACAAGATATGAGCCCCTTGCAAAATATTTGCTGTTTCCTTTTTCCATTTCTTAGAACCATTTGACTAAGTAGGAATTATCGTGCAGCAACCAGATTTGTCAGCAACCTGTATTTATAATTAGCCCAATGAAAAACTGATCATCCATGGCAATCTCAATATTTTATAAAAGCCACTATTTTTGCGAAGCATTCCAAAAACCTAATAGCATTAAATAAGATCTTCAAACCGGAGGTTGCGGGGATATTAGGAAAATTATACCTAGCATCCCGGAAAATTATACCTAGCTACCAGGAGTCATTTATTGTCAATTTTACTATAGAGTGTTTGAAAATCGAAAAACAACAACATTAAGAAATGGATTGGAAATTTAATGCTTATATAACACTGCCTGGTCATGATTCTAAAATACAGTTGAGTTGTTGTTACAAAATGTTGAGTCTTATACCTGATTTCAGAAAGAAACTCAAATGCAGTGATTACTACAGTGTCTTACTCACTGGACTAAGTGCGAGATTTGAAAATAAATCTAATCGGACAATATAAATATTTAGCATCACGAAGACTGCAAAGAAGTGCATTTGCTATTTGAAAGCATTTATCCAACAAAGGAATGTCTCGTTCTACAAATCTAACCCAAAGATTCACAGCCGGTAAAAAAATAAGGATTACTTGTTTGTCTAATTTCAAGGCAAATATAGTACGCTACATCATCTCAACGATATCAAATAATATCATTGGGGAATCTTAGAGGCAGAAGCGTAACTAGAACGTTAATTAAGGTGGGGATGGTGTATAATCATATATTCAGTTGTGCCCTACTGATTTCTTTTAAAATTCAATTTCCTTTTAAAAGAAATCAGTAGGGCACAACGGAATATATAAATATGCACCTACCAATTAACGTTCTAGTTACGCCTCTTCTTACAGGGAATCTTATACTGTGTATATTTCGCTAAGTAGAAGAGAATCTACGTAAATAAAAAGAATTTAAACCAGCTTTGCCAAATGTAAAGTAATATGCGATGTTAGAAAGGTACTGATTGTCAGAATTTAAAATCCCTGACGTCAAAACTCTAACTGAAACAACATACTCATAAACTGGTTTTGCTTTTGTTTGTTTATATGGGGGGCAAAGATGCTAAACCACTTATAAGTTTTATGGAGAACTGGTACCAAATCAGAAAAAGCGTATTCACTGCTGGAAACAAAGTAAAACTCACTTGGTCGGTGCGTGTCTCTGCACAAGAAATTATCTGTTAATTTGGCTAAGTTTTTATTTACGTGTTTACTAAATAATGTAATAATATGCTGTTTACAATAGGTGTAATACTATAAAAACTTTAAAAATATCATGTTTCTACGTAATGACTTAGCTGATGAAGAATTGGAGTCAAAAAATTGAGCAAGACATACCTTAAAACTGAAGTTATAGATTTTAATTCCACTCGTCATCATGATAAGCGAAAGCATAACATAGTGTTTATTGTCTTAAGATCAAAATTATGCACAGAAGTAATTTGCTCCCAAGCTTATGTCTTCTAAGTTTTTATATTGTTTTTTAATTTGTTATAGGTTTGATATTGTGCGTTAACAAAAAATTGTAGCATAAAAAATGTAACGCAAACATATTCTAATATTTGAAACGCACTACATGCGGGAAACTACTTGGTTTCAGCGAAGAGTTTTTATGGGATAGGTTATCTATGTAGTCAAAATGATTATTTTTAAATTTGATTTGAAATAGTTGTGATATTAAAATTGTCAGTAAAGAATACAATTTAATTAATTTATTTTCTTCCATATTTTTACCTATAAAACTGTATCTATCTTTTTTTTGGGAAGGAATAAGGAAAAGCGAGACACTGGATGTGCTTTACGTTTGAGGTTTTGTGTATAAAAATTGTTATTATCATTGCTTGTTTTTTAAATTATCTTAATGTCAGAAAAGTAACATGTGTTATTTGAAATACTACAACCTAAAAATAACACCAAAATTTGAATGGTTTTGCGTTATCTGTGATTGCTAAATGTTCTGACCGCTAAGTTTTATAACAATGAAGAATATTTATAAACAAAAGTTAAAGAATGTTTGAAGAATAAATGGAATCAATTTGATCTAGATTCCAAGTATTTTCGCGATTTACCCTCTTTTTGACATTAAAGAGTTCATTTAATAAAGCTCCAAATTTGTATATTTACCTTCTAATAAAATAAGCATACCTCTTATTTTCTCCGTATGAACGTGGAAATTTGAAGGGGTTTCAGCATCAGCAGTATCACCAGACTTTATTTCTTTAAAAAAGATATAAAAGTAGAGCAGGTGAACCATAGCATAAAGTAGAAGAGTGTTTTTAATGATAAATATGTTTCTAGGTGAAGACCGAGTTAACTGGAGTTTATAAAACAACCAAGAATCAATTCTTCAAATAAATTATTTGAATTTAGTTACACGTTCTTTCCAAGAACAAAGTCATATATCAATCTAGGTTTTTCAAGTAATAAAGTAACTTTTTAAAATCCAAGTATTGTAAATCTGGTATTTTTCTTAAAATAAAAAAACTGAAATAAAAAAACTGAAAAATGTAAAACTTTACTTATGTTTTAACTTTTGCTTAAGTTTTCTTGTTCCAGCCTTTTAGCTATGACAAAAAGCAAGAAAAATTTTAAATAGAGTACTTGAGATTTTTTTAAAGCATACGTAAATAAAGCATAAGATGGAAAGAAAACGATGAAAAGTTTACCAAAAACAAGTTTAAGTTGCATATGTGGTTGTTCCTTAGTAGTTTATTTTAGTTTAGTTTTATTTATATCTTTAAAGAGATTTAAAATAATTTTGCTCCTAAATAAATGTTGAAGTGCATTATATTGTTCTCAATTTGCATGAAACTTCAAGAAACCAATCTTTTTTATGTATTTTAGGATAGCTCTACAAACGGATTATATGTAAGAGACCTTAACTAGGTAAATGCTCAGAATGGTTAAACGGCCTACAATAATATCATGAGTCCAAATGAATCTTAATTTAACCAGAAACGGCTTTAACTAATTTTATAAAGATTCTTAAAAATTTTTTTTTCTGATCAGATCTAGCCAAACATAAGACAAGAAGAATTCATGATTTGTAAACAAAAAGACTTAAAAATTTTTCTGAAACTTGAAAAACCTCAAAATATACACTTTAAAACCCTTATATATGCTACAATATACAAAAGTAAAGAATAACATACCAATACTGTTCGAAGATTCAGTAACAACAACATGATCCGAAGCAATTGATTTTTTTCGAATTGACTGCGCTCTTTCATAAAATTCTTTTGCTCTGTCATATTCTTTATTACGATGATACAAATTACCAAGATTATTTAAAGTCTTGGCTACATCAACATGTTCAAGACTAAGTAATTTTTCTCGAATTTCCAACGCTTTTTCATAACACTCTTTGGCTTTGGCATATTTGTTGGTCTTATAATACACATTACCAAGATCGTTTAAAGTCGTAGCTACATCAACATTTTCAGGACCTACTGACTTTTGTTGATTTTCCAACGCTTTTTCATAACACTCTATGGCTTTGGCATATTTGTTGGTATAATAATACACATTACCTAGAATGTTTAAAGTCCAAGTTGCATCAACGTACTCAGGGCCAAATGATTTTTGTCGAATTTCCAATGCTTTTTCGTGAAATTCTCTTGCTTTGTCATATTCTTTACTACGATAATACACATTACCAAGATTGTTTAATGTCGTAACTACATAAACATGTTCAGGACCCAGTGATTTTTTTTGAATTTCCAGAGCTTTTTCATAACACTCTTTGGCTTTGGCATATTTGTTGGTATAATAATACACAATACCAAGATCATTTAAAGTCGTAGCTACATGAACATGTTTAGGACCACGTGATTTTTGTTGAATTTCTAGCGCTTTTTCATAACATTCTTTTGCTTTGGCATAGTTGTTGGTATTATAATACACATTACCAAGAATGTTTAAAGTCCAAGCTACATCAACGTGTTCAGGACCAAGTGATTTTTCACGAATTTCCAACGCTTTTTCGTGAAATTCTCTTGCTTTGTCGTACTCTTTAGTAGAATAATACACATTACCAAGAATGTTTAAAGTCCAAGCTACATCAACGTGTTCAGGACCAAGTGATTTTTGTCGAATTTCCAACACTTTTTCGTGAAATTCTCTTGCTCTGTCATGTTCTTTAGTACGGTAATACACATTACCAAGATTGTTTAAAGTCGTCGCTACATCAACATGTTCAGGACCAAGTGATTGTTGTCGAATTTTCAATGCTTTTTCATAACACTCTTTAGCTTTGGCAAGATTGTAGGTCCCATAATACACATTACCAAGAATATTTAAAGTCCAAGCTACATCAACATGTTTAGGACCAAGTGATTTTTGACGAATTTCTAACGCTATTTCGTGATATTCTCTTGCTTTGTCATATTCTTTAGTACGACAATACACATTACCAAGATTGTTTAAAGTCGTAGCTACATAAACATGTTCAGGACCTAGTGATTTTTGTTGAATTTCCAACGCTTTTTCATAACACTCTTTAGCTTTGGCATATTTGTTGGTATAATAATACACAATACCAAGATCGTTTAAAGTCGTAGCTACATCAAGATGTTTTGGACCAAGTGATTTTTGTCGAATTTCTAGAGCTTTTTCATAACACTCTTTTGCTTTGGCATAGTTGTTGGTATTATAATACACATTACCAAGAATGTTTACAGTCCAAGCTACATCAATATGTGTAGGACCAAGTGATTTTTGTCGAATTTCTAACGCTTTTTCGTGAAATTCTCTTGCTTTGTCGTACTCTTTAGCACAATAATACACATTACCAAGATTGTTTAAAGTCGTAGCTACATAAACATGTTCAGGACCTAGTGATTTTTGTTGAATTTCCAACGCTTTTTCATAACACTCTTTTGTTTTGGCATATTTGTTGGTATAATAATACACAATACCAAGATCGTTCAAAGTCGTAGCTACATCAGCATGCTTAGGACCAAGTGATTTTTGTCGAATTTCCAACGCTTTTTCATAACACTCTTTTGCTTTGGAATACTTGTTGGTGTTATAATACACATTACCAAGAATGTTTAAAGTCCAAGCCACATCAACATGTTTAGGACCAAGTGACTTTTGTCGAATTCCCAACGCTTTTTCGTGAAATTCTCTTGCTTTGTCATATTCTTCAATACGATAATACATATTACCAAGAGAGTTCAAAGTCGTAGCTACATCAACATGCTCAGAACCAAGTGATATTTGTTTAATTTCAAGCGCTTTTTCGTAAAATTCTCTAGCTTTGTCATATTCTTTAGTATAATGGTACACGTTACCAAGATCATGAAAAGTCCTAGCTACATCAACATGTTCAGGATCTAGTGATTTTTGTCGAATTTCCAACGCGTTTTTAAAACACTCTTCGGCTTTGGCATGTTTGTTGGTGTCATAATACACATTACCAAGATTGTTTAATATCGTAGCTACATCAACATGTTCAGGACCAAGTGATTTTTGTCGAATTTCCAACGCTTTTTTATAACACTCTTTGGCTTTGGCATGTTTGTTAGTCTCATAATACACATTACCAAGAGAGCTTAAAGTCGTAGCTACATCAACATGTTTAGGACCAAGTGATTTTTGTCGAATTTCTAGAGCTTTTTCATAACACTCTTTTGCTTTGGCATAGGTGTTGGTATTATAAAACACATTACCAAGAATGTTTAAAGTCCAAGCTACATCAACATGTTTAGGACCAAGTGATTTTTGTCGAATTTCCAACGCTTTTTCGTGAAATTCTCTTGCTTTGTCGTACTCTTTAGTAGAATAATACACATTACCAAGAATGTTTAAAGTCCAAGCTACATCAACGTGTTCAGGACCAAGTGATTTTTGTCGAATTTCCAACACTTTTTCGTGAAATTCTCTTGCTCTGTCATGTTCTTTAGTACGGTAATACACATTACCAAGATTGTTTAAAGTCGTCGCTACATCAACATGTTCAGGACCAAGTGATTGTTGTCGAATTTTCAATGCTTTTTCATAACACTCTTTAGCTTTGGCAAGATTTTTGGTCCCATAATACACATTACCAAGAATATTTAAAGTCCAAGCTACATCAACATGTTTAGGACCAAGTGATTTTTGACGAATTTCTAACGCTTTTTCGTGATATTCTCTTGCTTTGTCATATTCTTTAGTACGGCAATACACATTACCAAGATTGTTTAAAGTCGTAGCTACATAAACATGTTCAGGACCTAGTGATTTTTGTTGAATTTCCAACGCTTTTTCATAACACTCTTTAGCTTTGGCATATTTGTTGGTATAATAATACACACTACCAAGATCGTTTAAAGTCGTAGCTACATCAACATGTTTAGGACCAAGTGATTTTTGTCGAATTTCTAGAGCTTTTTCATAACACTCTTTTGCTTTGGCATAGTTGTTGGTATTATAAAACACATTACCAAGAATGTTTAAAGTCCAAGCTACATCAACATGTTTAGGACCAAGTGATTTTCGTCGAATTTCCAACGCTTTTTCGTGATATTCTCTTGCTTTGTCATATTCTTTTAGTGGCAATACACATTACCAAGATTGTTTAAAGTCGTAGCTACATAAACATGTTCAGGACCTAGTGATTTTTGTTGAATTTCCAACGCTTTTTCATAACACTCTTTAGCTTTGGCCTATTTGTTGGTATAATAATACACAATACCAAGATCGTTTAAAGTCGTAGCTACATCAACATGTTTAGGACCAAGTGATTTTTGTCGAATTTCTAGCGCTTTTTCATAACACTCTTTTGCTTTGGCATAATTGTTGGTATTATAAAACACATTACCAAGAATGTTTAAAGTCCAAGCTACATCAACATGTTTAGGACCAAGTGATTTTTGTCGAATTTCCAACGCTTTTTCGTGAAATTCTCTTGCTTTGTCGTACTCTTTAGTAGAATAATACACATTACCAAGAATGTTTAAAGTCCAAGCTACATCAACGTGTTCAGGACCAAGTGATTTTTGTCGAATTTCCAACACTTTTTCGTGAAATTCTCTTGCTTTGTCATGTTCTTTAGTACGGTAATACACATTACCAAGATTGTTTAAAGTCGTCGCTACATCAACATGTTCAGGACCAAGTGATTGTTGTCGAATTTTCAATGCTTTTTCATAACACTCTTTAGCTTTGGCAAGATTGTTGGTCCCATAATACACATTACCAAGAATATTTAAAGTCCAAGCTACATCAACATGTTTAGGACCAAGTGATTTTTGACGAATTTCTAACGCTTTTTCGTGATATTCTCTTGCTTTGTCATATTCTTTAGTACGACAATACACGTTACCAAGATTGTTTAAAGTCGTAGCTACATAAACATGTTCAGGACCTAGTGATTTTTGTTGAATTTCCAACGCTTTTTCATAACACTCTTTAGCTTTGGCATATTTGTTGGTATAATAATACACAATACCAAGATCGTTTAAAGTCGTAGCTACATCAACATGTTTAGGACGAAGTGATTTTTGTCGAATTTCTAGAGCTTTTTCATAACACTCTTTTGCTTTGGCATAGTTGTTGGTATTATAAAACACATTACCAAGAATGTTTAAAGTCCAAGCTACATCAACATGTTTAGGACCAAGTGATTTTCGTCGAATTTCCAACGCTTTTTCGTGATATTCTCTTGCTTTGTCATATTCTTTAGTACGGCAATACACATTACCAAGATTGTTTAAAGTCGTAGCTACATAAACATGTTCAGGACCTAGTGATTTTTGTTGAATTTCCAACGCTTTTTCATAACACTCTTTAGCTTTGGCATATTTGTTGGTATAATAATATACAATACCAAGATCGTTTAAAGTCGTAGCTACATCAACATGTTTAGGACCAAGTGATTTTTGTCGAATTTCTAGCGCTTTTTCATAGCACTCTTTTGCTTTGGCATAGTTGTTGGTATTATAAAACACATTACCAAGAATGTTTAAAGTCCAAGCTACATCAACATGTTTAGGACCAAGTGATTTTTGTCGAATTTCCAACGCTTTTTCGTGAAATTCTCTTGCTTTGTCATGTTCTTTAGTACGGTAATACACATTACCAAGATTGTTTAAAGTCGTCGCTACATCAACATGTTCAGGACCAAGTGATTGTTGTCGAATTTTCAATGCTTTTTCATAACACTCTTTAGCTTTGGCAAGATTGTTGGTCCCATAATACACATTACCAAGAATATTTAAAGTCCAAGCTACATCAACATGTTTAGGACCAAGTGATTTTTGTCGAATTTCTAACGCTTTTTCGTGAAATTCTCTTGCTTTGTCGTACTCTTTAGCACAATAATACACATTACCAAGATTGTTTAAAGTCGTAGCTACATAAACATGTTCAGGACCTAGTGATTTTTGTTGAATTTCCAACGCTTTTTCATAACACTCTTTTGTTTTGGCATATTTGTTGGTATAATAATACACAATACCAAGATCGTTCAAAGTCGTAGCTACATCAGCATGCTTAGGACCAAGTGATTTTTGTCGAATTTCCAACGCTTTTTCATAACACTCTTTTGCTTTGGAATACTTGTTGGTGTTATAATACACATTACCAAGAATGTTTAAAGTCCAAGCCACATCAACATGTTTAGGACCAAGTGACTTTTGTCGAATTCCCAACGCTTTTTCGTGAAATTCTCTTGCTTTGTCATATTCTTCAATACGATAATACATATTACCAAGAGAGTTCAAAGTCGTAGCTACATCAACATGCTCAGAACCAAGTGATATTTGTTTAATTTCAAGCGCTTTTTCGTAAAATTCTCTAGCTTTGTCATATTCTTTAGTATAATGGTACACGTTACCAAGATCATGAAAAGTCCTAGCTACATCAACATGTTTAGGATCTAGTGATTTTTGTCGAATTTCCAACGCGTTTTTAAAACACTCTTCGGCTTTGGCATGTTTGTTGGTGTCATAATACACATTACCAAGATTGTTTAATGTCGTAGCTACATCAACATATTCAGGACCAAGTGATTTTTGTCGAATTTCCAACGCTTTTTTATAACACTCTTTGGCTTTGGCATGTTTGTTAGTCTCATAATACACATTACCAAGAGAGCTTAAAGTCGTAGCTACATCAACATGTTTAGGACCAAGTGATTTTTGTTTAATTTCCAACGCTTTTTCGTAAAATTCTCTAGCTTTGTCATATTCTTTAGTATAATGGTACACGTTACCAAGATCATGAAAAGTCGTAGCTACATCAACATGTTCAGGATCTAGTGATTTTTGTCGAATTTCCAACGCGTTTTTATAACACTTTTCGGCTTTGGCATGTTTGTCAGTCTCATAATACACATTACCAAGAGAGCTTAAAGTCGTAGCTACATCAACATGTTCAGGACCAAGTGATTTATGTCGAATTTCCAACGCTTTTTTATAACACTCTTTGGCTTTGGCATGTTTGTTAGTCTCATAATACACATTACCAAGAGAGTTCAAAGTCGTAGCTACATCAACATGTTCAGGAACTAGTAATTTTTGTCGAATTTCCAGCGCTTTTTCGTGAAATTCTCTCGCTTTATCATTTTCTTTAGTATCAAGGTACACATTGCCAAGATTATAAAAAGTCACAGCTACATCAACATGTTCAGGACCAAGTGATTTTTCTTGAATTTCCAATGCCTTTTCGTAAAATTCTCTCGCTTTGTCATATTCTTTAGTACAATGGTACACAATGCCAAGATTTTTTAAAGTGTTAGCTACATCAACATCTTCAGGACCTAGTGATTTTTGACGAATTTCCAACGCCTTTTCATGAAATTTTCTTGCTTTGTCATATTGTTTAGTACAATGGTACACATTACCAAGATTGTTTAAAGTCGTAGCTACATCAACATCTTCAGGAGCTAGTAATTTTTTTCGAATTTCTAACGCTTTTTCATAACACTCTTCCGCTTTGGCATGTTTCTTTGTCTCATAATACACATTACCAAGAGAGTCCAAAGTCATAGCTACATCAACATGTTCAGGGGGTAATGAATTTTGTTCAATTTCCAACGCTTTTTCGTAAGATTCTCTCGCTTTGTCATATTCTTTAGTATCAAGGTACACATTACCAATGTTATAAAAAGTCGCACCTACATCAACATGTTCAGGACCTAGTGATTTTTGTCGAATTTCCAACGCTTTTTCATAACACTCTTTGGCTTTGGCATATTGCTTGGTCTCATAATACACATTACCAAGATTGTTTAAAGTCATAGCTACATCAACATGTTCAGGACCTAGTGATTTTTGTCGAATTTCCAACGCTTTTTCATAATACTCTTTCGCTTTAGCATGTTTCTTGGTCTCATAATACACATTACCAAGAGAGCTTAAAGTCATAGCTACATCAACATGTTCAGGACCAAGTGATATTTGTTTAATTTCAAGCGCTTTTTCGTAAGATTCTCTCGCTTTGTCATATTCTTTAGTATCAAGGTACACATTACCAATGTTATAAAAAGTCGCACCTACATCAACATGTTCAGGACCTAGTGATTTTTGTCGAATTTCCAACGCTTTTTCATAACACTCTTTGGCTTTGGCATATTGCTTGGTCTCATAATACACATTACCAAGATTGTTTAAAGTCATAGCTACATCAACATGTTCAGGACCTAGTGATTTTTGTCGAATTTCCAACGCTTTTCATAATACTCTTTCGCTTTAGCATGTTTCTTGGTCTCATAATACATTACCAAGAGAGCTTAAAGTCATAGCTACATCAACATGTTCAGGACCAAGTGATATTTGTTTAATTTCAAGCGCTTTTTCGTAAGATTCTCTCGCTTTGTCATATTCTTTAGTATCAGGTACACATTACCAATGTTATAAAAAGTCGCACCTACATCAACATGTTCAGGACCTAGTGATTTTTGTCGAATTTCCAACGCTTTTTCATAACACTCTTTGGCTTTGGCATATTGCTTGGTCTCATAATACACATTACCAAGATTGTTTAAAGTCATAGCTACATCAACATGTTCAGGACCTAGTGATTTTTGTCGAATTTCCAACGCTTTTTCATAATACTCTTTAGCTTTGGCATATTGCTTGGTCTCATAATACACATTACCAAGATTGTTCAAAGTCGTAGCTACATCAACATCTTCAGGACCTAGCGATCTTTGTCGAATTTCCAACGCTTTTTCGTGAAATTCTCTTGCTTTATCATATTCTTTAGTACGATGGTACACATTACCAAGATTGTTTAAAGTCGCAGCTACATCAACATGTTCTGGACCAAGTGATATTTGCCGAATTTCCAACGCTTTTTCATAACACTCTTTGGCTTTGGCAATTTTGTTGGTCTCATAATACAGATTACCAAGAGAGTTCAAAGTCGTAGCCATATCAACATCTTGAGGATCTAGTGATTTTTGTTCAATTTCCAACGCTATTTCAAAAAATTGTCTAGCTTTGTCATATTCTTTAGTATAAAGGTACACCTTACCAAGATCATAAAAAGTCCTAGCGATATCAATATGTTCAGGATCTAGTGATTTCTGTCGAATTTCCAGTGCTTTTTCGTAGTAATGTCTTGCTTTGTCAAATTCTTCAGTATAAAGGTACACATTACCAAGATTGTTTAAAGTCGCAGCTACATCAACATGTTCTGGACCAAGTGATTTTTGTCGAATTTCCAACGCTTTTTCATAACACTCTTTGGCTTTGACATGTTTGTTGGTCTCATAATACACATTACCAAGATAGTTTAAAGTCCAAGCTACATTAACATGTTCAGGACCTACCGATTTTTGGTCAATTTCCAACGCTTTTTCAAGAAATTCTCTTGCTTTGTCATATTCTTTAGATTCGAGGTACACCTTACCAAGATCAAAAAAACTCCTAGCTACATCAACATGTTCAGGATCTAGTGATTTTTGTCGAATTTCCAACGCTTTTTCGTGGATTTCTCTTGTTTTGTCATATTCTTTAGTATAAAGGTACACATTACCAAGATTGCTTAAAGTCGTAGCTACATCAACATGTTTTGGACCAAGTGATTTTTGTCGAATTTCCAACGCTTTTTCATAACACTCTTTTGCATTGGCATATTTCTTGGTCTTATAATACACATTACCAAGAGAGTGTAAAAACATGGCTACATCAATATGTTCAGGACCTAGTGATTTTTGTGCAATTTCCAACGATTTTTTATAACATTCTTTGGCTTTGGCATGTTTGTTAGTCTCATAATACACATTACCAAGAGAGTGTAAAAACATGGCTACATCAACATGTTCAGGACCTAGTGATTTTTGTGCAATTTCCAACGCTTTTTCGAGAAATTCTCTTGCTTTGTCATATTCTTTCGTACGACGATACACCTTACCGAGATTATAAAAAGTTGTAGCTACATCAACATGTTCGAGACCATATGATTTTTGTCGAATTTCCAACGCTTTTTCATAACACTCTTTGGCTTTGGCATATTCGTTGGTATCATAATACACAATACCAAGAAAGTACAAAGTCGTAGCTACATCAACATGTTCAGGATCTAGCGATTTTTGTCGAATTTCCAGCGCTTTTTCGTGAAATTCTCTTGCTTTATCATATTCTTTAGTACGATGGTACACATTACCAATGTTATAAAAAGTCGTAGCTACATCAACATGTTTAGGACCAAGTGATTTTTGTCGAATTTCTAACGCTTTTTCATAACACTCTTTCGCTTTAGCATGTTTCTTGGTCTCATAATACACATTACCAAGAGAGCTTAAAGTCATAGCTACATCAACATGTTCAGGACCAAGTGATATTTGTTTAATTTCAAGCGCTTTTTCGTAAAATTCTCTAGCTTTGTCATATTCTTTAGTATAATGGTACACGTTACCAAGATCATGAAAAGTCCTAGCTACATCAACATGTTCAGGATCTAGTGATTTTTGTCGAAATTCCAACGTGTTTTTATAACACTCTTCGGCTTTGGCATGTTTGTTGGTATCATAATACACATTACCAAGATTGTTTAATGTCGTAGCTACATCAACATGTTCAGGACCAAGTGATTTTTGTCGATCGTCTATCACCAGCCTTGACAATTCTAAAACAATTACAAAACCAAATATAGCTTAATTGAGAAAAACTGGGCTCATTGACTCAGTTAACCCTCTGATCTGATAATAGACTGGCTATTTAGCTTCAAAAGATATCACAAAAGTGAAGCGCGATAAATGTGCAACGATGCGACAAATTAGATTCTTTCACGGATAGTTTTCAATAGGTCACTAACGCCAATATTTCATGGCCATAGGAAGCATTTTGATGTCTAATTGAATTGATTAAGTTATTCTACCCATGACGTATATTTTTGATGATTAGAAAAGTAGCAAACCTAAAATATTCGAAAATTTACGTTGGTAAATGTTATCCACCATCATTCCTATTTTGTCAACTTTGTTTATTCCCACTCTGCTTTTTTTACACTGTTAGCTCATGTGTTAATAACACACTTTTAAGTAGTGTTTAATGTGATGTTCTAGCGTCAATAGTGAGCTTTAATAAGAGTTTACTAATATACGGTACGAGTTCAAGATTGACCGTGTACTGGATTGAGACGAGGAAGTTTGTTGTCGTTGTTGTGTTGTAACTTTATTTAGTTATATAAAAAATGACCGAGACTTTTTACTTGGAAAACTACCGAGTTTTGTGAAGCATATAGCTCTAGCTACGGCTTTATTTGTTATTAATAATATTAACGAATCGGTAATAATGATTTTGTAAGAAGATAGGACTCTTTATAGACAGAAAATTCTTTAGTAATTTACATTTTATGTTTTATATATTTGTAGTATTTTACTTTTTGTTTACATTTGAATTTGCATTTGAGATACAAGGAAGTATAAAAGATATAAAAATTTTTTCGTAATTGAATGACATTTTGAAGCTGTTCTATGAAGGCATTTCTGAGTTGGAAAACTTATCCACAAAGTAAAAACTTATATATTGCTAAATAAATATTTACACTAGCTAGATGGACAAAGTTCGACTTTACTTATTTAAACGTTGACAAATATTCATCGTTCATGGTCAACAAGGGGATGAAGAAATTGATAAAAGCTATTTTAATTATGAATTCTAGTGTTGAATTCGTTCAGTGAAATAGTGTATGAATTTGCTTTTCAAATAAAAGTATGTTAAATTTATTAATGAAGTGGTAAAAGTTGAGCAGGATTAAAAAACGAGTTTGGGGATTGTGTCTCAAGTCTTGACAATGTAACAGTGGAACAAGAGGACTTTTAAAATTGGTAAACACATATTGCTATGAACATTTTCCATTCACTAGAATAAAAAATGATTCAGCCTTGGAAAACTAACGATTCAAGCTGACGCAATTTCTTCAGGCAACGAAAATCAAATGTGGAAACAAAGCACACTTAAATTTCATGAGGAATATTTAGTTTAAACGTCTCCAATAATTATATTGATGATGGATATTTAGAACCAAATATCATTCTCCTTGATATTGAGGGAAGTACGTCTGTAAACGTTCCTGTGATGACAAAAGATCCCGACACAACTCTGTTATTACGTATTCAAATGTTAACTGGTACTTAAATAATGTGCGGCGAAGATCTGTCGCATTACAATTATTGCTAATAACGTTAATAAAGTCAGTCTCAAACTGGAGTCATTAATTCTGTTATTTTCTCAGTGCGCTAAGATGAATACACGTTTCTTAAAATGAACGGTTTCATCACAAAAACGTCTCCAGAGCCATTATTGGATTCATTGAATAGTTACTTTATCGTAAGTTTGAAAAGTTAGCATGCATGTTGCAACATAAAATATTACGACGTTTGTACAAATACGTTTTGCACTCCGGCACTCGTTAGTCTTTGTAGTAAATAATACCTCATAATTACACCTCAATTAATTTGAAATAATATAATTTAAAAAAAACAAAAACGTAAGAGATTCTATTTTAGCATTTCGTTGACATAACCATATTTACAACCCCATACCCTACGTTGAAACGCTAGAATTTACCAATGAACAAGCATTTTTGTAATTCCCAGCTAGCACACGACGTTTTCATAACGTTGGCTGAAGGTTGTTGTTACTTTACGTTATGACATAACGTTAATACGACATTCTTATCACGCTGTTTTTCTTGTTCAAACTTTAACCCCGTTTAGTCAACGTTGGTGGAACGTTAACAAAAACATTCGGTAAGGAAGTTATGTTGCAACGTTGAAACAACGTTGTCTAAACTTTAAGATGAACGCTAGTGTAATGCGATATTTTGGTTGCGTGCGCGTCGTTATTGTCTGACGTTGTTTCAACGTCGGTTAAATGTTAAGATGAACGTTAGATTAAGGTGATTTTTTGGTCGCCGGCGTCGTTAATGTCTAACGTTGTGTGAACGTTGTCTAAACGTAAAGATGAACGTTAGATTAAGGTGATTTTTTGGTCGCAGTTTCGTTAATGTCTAACGTTGTATAAACGTTGTCTAAACGTAAAGATGAACGTTAGATTAAGGTGATTTTTTGGTCGCAGTTTCGTTAATGTCTAACGTGATATGAACGTTGGTTAAAAGTTATGACTAACTTCAATTCATGTTAAATCATGTTTACGTAGTGCGTTGCATTCAACGTTGTATCAATGTCGTTTTTTCTGAACATTGATATCAATATGCGTTCGCTGTATCAGCGTTAATAAAAAATAAATTTGAATATATAGTTTGATAACGTTATGACGCGGATGCGACTGATGCGACACAGTTGGCGAAATATGCAATAAAAGAAACATAAATCGTTGTAGACGTTAAGAAAATTTGCGGGCTCAGAATACTTTCTTGCACATGTCTCCTGCATACTTTATTACAAGTGGCAAGTCGATCTTTATCTACTAAATTTTTCAACCAAGAAAGAATATGTATTTGATACAGCACATTCTAGAGCGAACTGATCAACGTTTTTATCGTAATTACATGCTGTTTCGATTTTATTTGAATAAACACAGAACTTAGGCAAGGAGTAATTCAACATGTATATTCACGTGTGACACGATTTCGCGATAAATGGTTGACGGTTGACCCTTTTTATTTCTTATTCTTAGCGCAACTTTAGCAAGAAACGGTGTTTTGGAACAAGTGCTGCTATATTGTAACGTGATTAAGTTATTTATTTAGATATTGTAGTTATTGTTGAACAAGAGACAATGAGGAACAATGAACGTCTTATGATGCCATTGTCGATTTGCCATTACCGGTGGTTAAATAAAGCATACAATAATTACAATTTATTGTATTTAGCCACAAATAATAACAGAAACATCTTATTTAAGTAATTTGGTGTGTTGATAAGTAAAAAAAAGCTTTCTAGACTCTTTGAATAATTTTGACATAGGCAATTAGTTCTCATTATTATGAAAGGCCAATTTTTTTGATCTTTAGTGATAAGGCCAATTATTGATCGTCAAAATTCAGAAAAGCCTGCGAGTTATTGTCTTATTGCTGTGGACATCTAACAAATATATTTTCATATTTCATACACCTTACTATAGCCTTAATTTTCAATTGTTTCGACCAAAACTGCGTTAATTCTTGTTTTTTTTATAACATTGAACTCAAACCTTTTTATGATATATAAGTCTGTGATGATGATTAATACTTTTTAACATGGGGTTACGTGATTATGTGATTTAAAAAATGTGTTTGATTAAGAATAGCGCAGCCTTAAACCTTGAAACAGTTTTAGTTTCTATTGCTAATCACGGCAGTTTTTAAACAGTGATACAATTTTGCAAAGAGGTATATGAATGTTTATTCATAACAATGCATGGTTGCTTTATAATACTAGTAAGTATTGTTTGTCCAATTATTGCATTCAAGACAATATGTAGTTTACAACCCACTTTTTTATCTCTTAGATTGGTTTATTAACTTCTCCCATTTCTTTAGTAAGCTTACAATGTCAGTTAAATTATTTTATTTAGTTGCTTAGAACATTTTCCATTTGCAGTTGTTAGCAAGTAAACTATAATGTTATACTTAATTTTTAGGGTTATGTATAAATTAGGTATGATACATGCAGCATGTAAAGATTAGAATACGTTACAAATGGTTGAGGAGACATATAAGTTGCCATGACCTGTGAATAAGACTTGTTATTTTTTGATTGAAACGTTTCGGTAAATGTTGGGATCACCAGCACTGAGGAGGAATGGGTTGTAACATTAGGATATATTTAAATCAATCAAAAATAAATAGAGTGACAGCTACATTTTATTATTTATTTTAGTTCATATCATAATGAAACGTAACCGCGCAATACCGAAAAAACTGGACTGCTGCTAATAGAGCTTTAAGATGCAGTAATGAACATTCAAAACCTTTACAAAAATCAGCTCGAACCATTGCCAGTCCTAAGCAATGTTCTTTCTCTTTGCAAGTTAGTCTTAATGATTGTGATATTGGGGAAAAATATTTTAGATGTTTCTTTTTGCTGAAGCTGATTCTTTAGTGCATGTGAATGCAGACAGTGTTGTGTGCCATTTTGAATATCAAACCTGTTATAGTGTTTCCTATTGTCCTCACATGTGGTGCTTCCAAGCCAAAACACTTGGAGTTTTTGGACGAGTTTATAGAAGATTTAAAGGGTATTCTAGAGAGGGGAGTTCAAGATGGGAAAAGGTTCTGACTGTTACAGTAGGGTGCATTGCTTGTAATGTTCCTGCAAGAGCACTCGTTAAAGGTACAAAACTTTGTACTGGTTATTTTGGTTGTGACAAATGTACACAAAAAGGGAACTGGCTTGGTCGAGTTACTTACTCTCAAAATAATAATATAGAATTGCACACTAATACTTCCTTTAGAAAGCAGATACAAGAAGAACATCATCGTTTTGTTAGCCCTTTCAGTCATTTGCCTGTTGATATGGTAAAGTAATTTCCAATCGACTACATGCATCAACTGTGTCTGGGTGTTATGCGTAAATTGATTATGGTTTGGACGAGGGGAATCGCGCTGTTAAAATGTCTGCTGCCCATGTAGAGGCTGTTACTAAAAAATTGGTGGAGCTCAAACCATTTATTCTTTCTACATTTGTGCGAAAACCTAGGAGTTTAATGGAGGTTAAAAGATGGAAAGCTACAGAATTTAGACAGTTTCTTTTGTATACAGGTAAAATTGCTTTAAAGGGTATTTTAGTGCATGATTTGTATGAAAATTTCTTGGTCTTAAGTGTTGCAAGTTCCATTTTGGTTAGTCCTTTATTAGCTCATAAAAATTACGCTAAGCAATTAATGCATTTCTTTGTTGAGCAAAGTATGTTCTTTATAGTGATGAATTCGTAGTGTATAAAGCACACAGTATGATTCATTTGGCTGATGAGGTGGAACAGTTTGGGTGTTTGATGCAATCCTTATTCTGTGCTACTGCCTTCATGGGGGTATCGGTCCCACTTTACTAAACTTTTGTACTATAAAATCACAGTTTTAGCGTTTCTATTCCTTTTACAAACTTCTGATTAAGGCAAAACTTTTATGACATGTAGAGGAAAACCGGTAAAGAGTTTTAACTCTGAAGCTCTTTTTTTTTGGCTTTGTAACGACTGAAAAATAAGAAGGCAAGTTGTATTGAAATTTGAAAGTTGAAGGTGACGAGGACAATTTCAGCCGTGCGAGGCATTTTTAGAAGATGAATACTTAAATTACAAATTTGCAGCAAACTAAGAACAAACCTATTCATATCTTCAACCTTTTCATCGATATTAAAGTTGTTTACATAAGAACTGGTTAAAAACTTTTCTTTGCTTAATGACAACAGAGTTACTCTAATTCGTATATTTTAATGATGTACATCTCGTAGAGTCTGAAGATACCGTTTTCAACTTACTATTGCTCATCAAAATGTCTTTCTGATTATTTTTCTATGTCTATTTTTTTCTTTTATCACTGATATAATAAAGACGTAATTTGAAATTATTATGATATTAGCGATGTGAATAACAAAGTGTTGTTAAGTAAGTAAATTTGTAGCAATCTTCCATAAACGTCATTGCAGATGAAATTTTGGTAGGAGTAGTAGAATTCTGCAATATTTCTGCATTTTTTTAGAAGCAGCAGCATCATATAATCTCCAGTTCGTTTCAAAACAATGCAGGTCGACCTTGTACCATCTCAATTTTATGCCATTATAAAGCCAAAAAACAAACTTTTTAGGATCTTTGCCGGTTATTCTGTCCCTTTCACTAAAATTTTGCTCCAATAAAAATTTTGTAAACGAAAAAACCCGCAAAAACTGTGATTTGTAATACAAAAGTATAGTATAGTAGGACCGATACCCCCCACGAAGGTCATAATCAGATGAGCCAACTTCAATTATTTTACTATATTTTATACATGTAAAGCCTGTGTAAAGCCTGTTTTCCACTAGCCACGTATCGTAACGTATCGTAGCAAGTACAGATGCGTTGAACGTTTTCCATTATTTGGCACAACGCGCAATACTATTTTCCCGCCAAATTTCAAAAACAATACAAATATTTTTGTCATGGGTACTCTCAGCAAAAACAACTCGCTTGCTTTTACTTTAAGTAGACGAATGAAGAAAGATAAATACAAAAAATATTTTGGATTCGAAAGCTTTACCAAGAAAGAAAAACTAAAGGAGAATTTTATCTTTTGGTGCAGGATTTACGTTTGTTCGATGATGAATTATTTTTCAGGTATTTTCGAACGAATGCTTCCAAATTTGAGGAATTATTACTTATGTTCGCCCCCAAAATAAAAAAAACTGCGTGACTAGAGATTGCATTGGACCAACTGAGATGCATTGCGTGACGTTGAGATATTTAGCAACCCGAGGCTGTCAAACGACCACAGCTATGAACCATCGAATGAGTCCAACAACAGTGGGAAGAATCATTTTCAAAACTTGCAGAGCATTGTGGATTGTTCTTGCAAATTTTATAAAGCCACCTACAACTGAGTCCGAATGGATTAAATTGGCTTAAGAATTTGAAATGAAATGTAACTTTCCCCACTGCATTGGAGCGTTGGACGGAAAGCATGTTGTCATGCAGGCACCTGCAAATTCCGGTTCAATGTTTTTTAACTACAAAAAAAAATCATTTAATTGTGTTGATGGCCATTTACAACGCCAAATACGAATTCACTCTGCTCGAAATAGGTGACACTGGAAGCAATAGCGATGGTGGTGTATTTTCTTACAGCAAAATTGGTGTAGCTGTGAAAAACAACAGTTTGAAATTTCCATGTGAAAAATCATTGCATAACTTCCAGGAAGAATGTCCTTATGTTATGGTAGCAAATGAGGCTTTTCAACTGCAACGTCACATACTGATACCCTACCCAAGAGAAGTTGCAGTTGTTGCAGAAAGAATGTTCAACTACAGGTTGTCACGAGCAAGACGGACAATAGAAAATGCCTTTGGGATCCTACCTGCACGCTTCAGGATTTTTCGACGTCCAATACATGCTAGAGTTGAAATGGTTGTCAGGATAACCCAGGCTGCAGTGGTCCTTCATAATTATCTAATGAGGGAATGTGCATGCTCTCATGGAGAGAGTTATTTTCTCATGGAACTAATTGACAAAAATACAAAACATGGCACACAACCAGTGCGGTGGAGGGAAATAATACAAGGCGACAAAGGCTTGCAATCAGATTGTAGAGATGGATCAAACAACTATTCTCGTAATGCCAAAAAGTTAGAGAATAAGGCATAACTAATAAGGCAGACTTATTATAAAACATGTTCGAACAAATCAATATATTATAAGACAGAAACAAAAACTTAAAACAACTTGTTACAACAAACTTTAAATAAAAAAGCAAATTGAATGTTCTGTAATGCATTTGTCAATGATGCTAATGAATTTCATTCATTTTCTTCAAACTCAAATATAACTTGTAGCACCTTTATCTTAGCCATTTGTTTGGTTTTTCCCTTCATCTCGTTGAGACTAGACACTAAGCTTAAGCAAAATAGTGTATATTCATCTTGGTGATTGTTTATCTAACAACTACCACTTTTACTAACATTGGATAAATTATTAGCAAGACTGATGGCTAAGAGGTCATCAATTTGGTCTGATTTTCGCTTGGGTGCTTTCTGATCAGTTTTGGGTTCAAAACATGGTCACTTGACTGATTATCCAATGACAAACTACATGATTCAGCCACCTTCACAGGATCATTGATTTCATATTCAACATTGCTTTCAGTTTTCCGCCCACTAATTACATCCTTTAAGAATGATAGCTAAACAAAATAATCTCAGGTGGGCAATTTTTTGTAGAGTCACTTCCAGAACGAGTTAATTGCTCTATTTTGCAAATGCATCGACAATAGTTATCTTTCAATCTGTTAAATTTTTTGTTCAATGTTCTTTCTAAATTGAAAGTAAAATATTCATAAATAAACTGCTCACAAAATTTATTCCATCTAGGCTTCAGTTTTTTTCGGTCTTTCTTTGTGACTTTTTAAAGAAGCATTCCATAAAGAAGCATTACATATTTACACAGTTCCTCAATTAAATTTGATAGAAACGAAGCATCTTGCAAATTGATATCTGATTTATTAAATGAATCATCTGTCCCTTCTTGAAATAACTCGATGCACGGTTCCTCGAGCGTCGCCATTTTGAAAGCATGAATTTTTTGTTCTCATGAAATGAACGACTATGATTGGTTAAATTTATCCGTATTACAGATTCATACGAAAAAAGTTGACAATACCGCGAACTTTTTTTTAATACGCGTATTAAAATTGTCCTACGCCTACTAGCCATCAAATACACTAGCACGCATGCGCTATAGTACGTTTTGCTACGATACGTTACGACGCGTGGCTAGTAAAAACAGGCTTAATACAATATCAATGTATCTATGTTACATAGTCAATGTGTTACACAGTGGGCTTTAAAATCACTTCATACATATTCAAAGTTCAGTTTCTCTCAACTGATTACTTGACTTGAAATATCTAGAAGAAAATCTTGCCATAGATGGAGAAATGACTTTGCTGATGATTAGATAGAGTGTGATTTTTATTGCCGAAATAAATATAAATCCCAGAGCATCGACGACATTTCCGTCAAGCAACTTCGTGAATATCGCAAGAAATATATTACATTTAGGTCCGAAAGAAAAGGAACAACGGAAAATACAAAACAATTAAGTTCCTTCGTAAGAAAGGAATTGTCTACGTTGAGTTTTAAATCGTACGCACTCACATACCATGAAGTAGTTTATTTAAATTATATATTATTCACATGTCGTCGCATAGATGGCTTAGACGCAAATAAAACATTGAAAAGGCTTAGTGCAGAAGCTTGGCTTAGTACAGGAAATTTGTATTGTAATTGTGAATTAGTGTGAGGTGAAATATTTTATTTTTAGTTGTGATGTGTGATTTAGGTGTGAAGTTTTTAGTTGTAATGTGTGGGTGTCAATTGTGTATGGTCATTGTGAATTAGTATGAAGTGTAATGTTTTTAGTTGATCGTTTGTTTGTATTGCGAATAAGTCGTTTGTAAGGTGCCGGTAATTGCTGTGATCTGTTCAGGAGAGTTTGTTCAAGTTGGTATACCAACTTTCTAATGTAAGCCGTTGTTTATAGTCAGTACTGTAAGTAATGCATTTTGCCGAGTCCCAGTCAATGTTGTGCTTTGTGATTCGGTGACGTTCGACAATGTGATTAGTATTGTTATGTTTCTTAGTAGCTTGTTTGTGTTCAGTAAGTCATATGTTTAAGTTCCTGCCAGTTTCCCCGTTATAGGAGGGGGTAGCAGTCGTAGCAGTTTATTTTGTAAACTACACCTTGTCGTTCATTGGGTTGTTCATTTTCCTTTATGTTCGTTAGTACTTGTCGTAACTTTGTGATTGGTTTATGTGCGACACGTATGTTGTACGCGAGATAGTCCCAGACGTACCTTTGATCTAAGGTATCGTTACTGTTGTCACTTTGTTGTTCGTTTCGTTGGGTTCGTTGGGTTTGTAAGTATTGCGTTTGATAAAGTCAGAGTTATAGTTGTTTTTGTCAAAAACACGTTTGAGATAGTTGTTTTCTTTGTGTAGAGCGTCCGGTAAATCACATATGATTTGTGCACGTCTTTTTAATGTTCTGATTGTGGTGGCTTTGTGTGATGTAGGGTTGTAAGAGGATTGGTCTAGTAGTCGGCGAGTATGTGTTGGCTTGCGATAAACTGTTGTTCGTAGTTTTTGATTGTCATGTTTTACCAAACAGTCGAGAAAAGGAACAGTTCCTTTTTCTTCAAAATCTTTGGTAAATTGTATGTGGCTGTTCTGTTTGTTGATGTGAGTATGAAAGTCATCAATCTCGTCTGCATGTAGTGCTGTGTTTGTGTCATCTACGTAGCGAAACCAAAAAGTTAGTGCATATTGTAAGTCGTGAGCGCCCGTTCCTCTATAGATTGCATTACAATTTCAGAAACGACAACAGAAACGGGTGAGCCCATTGCTGTCACATGTAATTGTTTGTAGTGTATACCTTTGTATTGGAAGTAAGTCGACGAGAGGCAGAGTTCCAGTAACTCCATAATGTCTTTTGTCGGTAATGGCAGTACGTCCTTGTTGTTTGTAATGAGGGTTTTTGTACAAGTAAGGGCCAGATTAAGTGGAATACTGGTGCACAGTGATTTCACATCAAAAGACACTAGTATATAGTTGTCCGGTATTTGTATAGTGCACAGTTTTTTAATGAAAGTTTCAGTGGATTGTAGCTTGTGTTTTGATTTGTTTGTAAGTGGTTGCAGTATGTTAGTCAAGTACTTTAAAAGTTCGTAAGTAGGCAAACCACAGAATGATACAATTGGACGCATGGGTATTTGTGGTTTGTGAAGTTTTGGTAGTCCGTATAGTCTGGGTGGTCGTGGTACTGAACATCTGAGTCGATAGTAAATACGTTCAGATATAATGTTAGATTTTCTCATAGAGAAGATCTTGCTGTTAAGTTTGCGTACTGGTGATGGTGTTGGGTCTCGTTTAAGTTGTTCGTACGTTTGTCTGTCGTTAACAAGGGTGTCCATTTTGTTAACGTAATAATTTCTGTCCATGACCACAGTCACGCGTCCTTTGTCTGCTGGTAAAATGACGATGTTGTTGCCGTGATTTAGTCGTTTGAGTGCTTGTTGTTCGTCCTTTGTCAAGTTGTTGTCACGTATAGAGGACGATTGTAAAGCGGAGGCTATCCTGCTTCTGATGTCGTGTTTGGTTGTCTCATAAAAGTCTGATTGATACGCTAGGACAGCCTCGAAACTTGATATTATCGTCTCAGTAGGGATTCGTCAGGGTGTTATGGAATGTTTTAGTCCGTAAGATAGTAGTCGCGTTTCAGTTTCGTCTAATGAGCGGAAAGAAATATTCCTCACCCAGTTATCGTCATGTTTATGTCTTGTACGTGTTTTATTGTGTCAAGTTTTTGATGTTGTTGATGTGGTGTTGTGTCTCTGTCTTGTTTGCTCGTATCTCTGCAATAGTTTGTATCGTAGAAAGTAAAGTATGGTCATGGACAGAAATGATTACTTTAAAAAAATGGACACCCTTGTTAATGAAAAACCTAACAGCAAGATTTTCTCTATGAGAAAATCTAACATTATATCTGAAAGTATTTACTATCGACTCAGATGTTCAGTACCATGACCACCCAGACTATACGGACTACCAAAACTTCACAAACCACAAATACCCATGCGTCCAATTGTATCATTCTGTGGTTAGCCTACTTACGAACTCTCAAAGTACTTGACTGACATACTGCAACCACTTACAAACAAATCAAAACACAAGCTACAATCCACTAATACTTTCATTAAAAAACTGTGCCCTATACAAATACCAGACAACTATATACTAGTGTCTTTTGATGTGAAATTACTGTTCACCAGTATTCTGGCCCTTACTAAATCTAGCCACTTAATCTGGCCCTTACTTGTACAAAAACCCTCATTACAAACAACAAGGACGTACTGCCATTACCAATAGAAGACATTATGGAGCTACTGGAGCTCTGCCGCACCTTGACTTTCTTCCAGTACAAAGGTAAACACTGCAAACAATTAAATGGGACAGCAATGGGCTCACCCGTTTCCGATGTAGTTGCTGAAATTGTTATGCAATCTATAGAGGAACGGGCGCTCGCGACTTACAAACATGCACTAACTTTTTGGTTTCGCTACGTTGATGACACAATCATGGCACTACATGCAGACAACATTGATGACTTTCAAACTCACATCAACCAGCAGAACAGTCACATACAATTTACCAAAGATGTCGAAGAAAACGGAACTCTTCCTTTTCTCGACTGTTTGGTAAAACATGACAATCAAAAAGTACGAACAACAGTTTATCGCAAGCAAGCACATACTCACCGACTACTAGACCAATCCTCTTACAACCCTACATCACACAAAGCCACCACAATCAGAGCATTAACAAGACGTGCACAAATCATATGTGATTCACCGAACGCTCTACACAACGAAAACTTTATCAAACGCAATACTTACAAACACAACGAACCATATGAAACGAACAACTCGGTGACAACAGCAACGATACCTTACATTAAAAGTACGTCTGAGACTATCTCACGTATCTTACGACCATACAACATACGTGTCGCACCTAAACAAATCACAAAGTTATGACAAGTACTAACGAACATAAAGGACAAAGAACAACCCAACGAACGACAAGGTGCAGTTTACAAAATAAACTGCTCCGACTGCCACGCCTCCTATATCGGGGAAACTGGCAGGAACTTAAACATAAAACTTACTGAGCACAAACGAGCTACTAAGAAACAAAACAAAACTAATCACATTGCCAAACATCACCGAATCACAAAGCACAACATTGACTGGGACTCGGCAAAATGCATTATTTACAGTACTGACTATAGACAACGGCTTACATTAGAAAGCTGGTATACCAACTTGGAACAAACCCCTCCTGACAGATCACAGCAATTACCGGCACCTTACAAACAACTTATTCACAATACAAACAAACGATCAACTAAAAACATTACACTTCACACTAATTCACGATGACAATACATAATTGGCACCCACACATTACAATTAAAAACATCACACCTAAATCACACATCACAACTAAAAATAAAATATTTCACTTCACACTAATTCACAATGAAAATACACATATCTTGTGCACACAATACAATGACGTACGAACGAGATAACAAATACGGCTAACCTGACGTTTACTCCTCATTTGACTCTGAAGATGGCTAAAGCTAAGGTTGTCGAAACGTCAGTCAACAACAACAAAAACAGTCCTTCTCAGGACTATACCAATCTGGACGATCGACATTTACAAACATGTAACGATACTCCCGGGTTCAAACCATTTATTTTATGAAGTAGTTTATCTAAATTATATATAATTCACATGTCGTCGTATAGATGGCTTAGACGCAAATAAGACATTGAAAAGGCTTAGTGCAAATGCTCAAAGAAAATATTTTATTTTTAAAATACATTAAAAATCGGTCAAAATTGATTTATAGTATTCTAATTGACGTAGTCTGGATCCGCCCCTGTCTGCGCTATATACTAGTCATTCAATGGTGGATTCAAATTTATATGAAAAGACTAATAAATACAACGCTTAATTTTGCCTTATTTTGTTATAACTATAAAATAATGTTATGAATAATTTTATTAAATTTTAAATCTTCGAATCGTCCGACTGCCGGTCTGCATTTAAACTTAAAATCGTCCAATCATGTTTCCCTTTAATCATAACTCACTGTTTTAATAGAACGCGCGACAAATAATTGTTAAATGTTTATTGAGTACTAATGATTTTGTAAAAGTTTTAACGTATGAGAATTAAAGCAAATCAACAATGTATCAAAGTACGAAATCATTAATATGACACATAAAATAACTGATTATCTATGACGTATAGTAATTAGAACTTTATTTATTTTTTGTGTATCTTACCTTGAACTGATAACGACTTCAACTTTCTTGAATTCATCTCATAAAAACATCTTACACATCCTTTGATTCCGTGTATAATAAATGTTTTTAATGAAAGGAATTTGAACCATCGTAGGAAGATATTGTTATGTAAAGCAAGGGTATTACGCCTTATGATTTTTATTGTTCATAATCATAGCATCTTTTAAATAATATAGTGAACATTGATTGAGCAAAACATTAGATGTATATTTGAATTATAACTTTGCGATGTTTTTATTGTAGTGCATATGCTCGCTTTAATACTTTTATCATTTATCTAGTACTTATAATTAAATGTTCTTTATAAATTAAATTGCACAGAAAGAGTGTAAACGTTGATATATTTTTAGCATAATATTGAAATACCGGCAGTAAATTGCAACACACAAACTTGTTTAATTATTCAAGAATTTTGAAAGAAACATAAACAAAACAAAAGTATTATGTCTTCGTTTTATTATATATGAACATGAAAATAGTAAGCAAAACATTCACTGACGGTTTTAATTAAACAGCCTAAAATACAAATGTTTTTCAAATACTGGCAAACATTGGATATATTGAGTATGTATGAGCAATATACAATTTCCCTAAAACTTTGCTAAAAGGTCAGAACGCTACCTCCCCCAGCGACTTTTCATATTATTTAGCTTCCCTAATACGAAGTGTGTTCTACAACCACAATGCAATCGAGAGTCTTCACGTCCTCCATTATATTTGACCTGCTGCATCCAAGTCATTTCCTCAACAAGGTAATTCAATAGAAATCCATGGTCATTATTAGAAGGAAATCTAGAAGCTTTCTTGCATGCGTGAGCATATTTTATAGAACTGCACAGAAGTTTTTATTCTAGTTTTTATTGTGGCATGATTATTATATATGTATTAGTAGTTTAACTATAATGCATGAGAACAACTTACAGGGTACAACTTATTGAGGACAATTTACGAGGCACAGAAAATTAAAGAAAACTTATACGGCGGAGTACGTATACAAAGAACACCCCACAACACTTTGAGACATCAACTAAGCCTTTTAGAAAAAACTATTGAAATCTGTTTGAAAAAACTATTGTGAATCTCTAGAAGATTAAAGACTCGTGGTCGTAATAAGACAGAGCAGATAAGTTACACTGATTACCATTTGATAATATTGAGACTCTTATTATAATATGCGATCGATATGAAATAAATTGCTTCATTGATTATAACTGGTGTCACACTATTTTTTGTAACATTTGGAAAAACAACGAAAATTCGTATTGGTTATTTCAGTCATGATAATTTGAAACCTGTGCATGTCTGAAAATGATACTATTATTTAAAAAAATTAAAATACATATATAAATTACCCTAAATATGCGTTCTAATATGTTAAAATATTTCACATATGCACAACATTTCTTTTGATTATAATGAAATTCCTGATTGGACCGTCAAAGCTCTACGTATCCAAGCTTTGTAATTTAGATATCTATTTCTTGAATTCTTCCTCCGTCGCAGCATAAAAATTATACAATCGTTTCTCTGTACGAAGCTATAGAAGCATATAAGGCAGTAAAAGTAGTCTTTAAGAAGAAAAAGTATTTCACATGCATGATTGTTTCCATCGGTTTTATTTCAAAGTTTTAAAAACAGGGTTCAATGTCATCAGCGTAAAATGTTAGATTGCTTTTTCAATGTCAATCTAAATCAACTAAAAGTGGTAAAGAAAGGATCATCTTTAAGCTTCAGGGAAAATTTAAAAGTTCATAAAAGAGCTTATTACCATTATTTAATGCTAGCCACGCTTACGTCGTTCACAGAAAAACACAAGCACGATTAACCAAATGGTTTTTTATAAAATAATTTAAACCAATCAAAATTCGTGATTATATAGAGCACCTTAAAGCTTCAAACAAACAAAACAACGATGAAAGATACCCAAATATATTTACTTATGTCGAAAAAAACTTGCTTCTCGTTTGCTAAAAATATCTATGAAATTCGCAATTTTTATAAAACAAAACACGACAATACAATAACAGCACTTTTACAATCATGTAATCATGTTTACAGTTTTATTGTACAATTAAATACGTAATTGCAATTTGTTCCATACTTAAAATTAATGTTAATTTTTATATACAGAAATAAATATCCTTTCCTACTGATACCAAAAAAGCATAAAACTTTGCAATTCATTCAATCTGGTGCACAAAAACATTTCGTCATAAGGTAATATCCCAGGAGAAGTTTTAATTTGGAACACACAACACCCTCCGCAAAAAATGCAAAGTTAACAGAGAAGTCGTTTTTCTCAGAGATGCAACCAAAGTCAATAGAGCATTGTTTTAAAAGCTCGTCAAAACCATGGAAGAAATAAGACTATAGAGCAAAATATTGTAATAAAACTTACAATTCAACTGTGACATTTCACATGAAATAATTTCAGATAAGTTGACAACACCTTGACAATGAACATCGCTTACTTCATCATAGTAACGAAGCTACAAAACCAATTAATTTGTGAAAACATAGACATCGTAAAATTTTAAAGCTAAGGACAGCAAATTGCAATGAACTAGAAATAAGTGCATCGAATAATTTGCACAGCTTAAGCTTTGCTGAAATTTTCACCATCAAAAAAGTCGCAAGCTGTAAATCATGCACCTCCCGTTTTCAGATCTCTTTTAACAATTCCATGCTCTGTCAGTAATGTAACGATTTTCAAAATGCAGTTTTTGTTACTCTTGCTTTTAACGTGATGTCACAAATAGAACAATCCTGTGCGCACATTGTCTTGAAAGTGTAAAGTTGTCATAACAGAAACAGAAACTGATATTGAAAGCGTGATGTTTTTTATAAAGGTAAGAACAGGAATTCATATGAATGGTATGCTGACATACACAAGAATAAAATATTGAGGTAGTACACGAATTCATATGAATGGAAAGCTGACATACACAAGAATAAAATGCACATGACTTATGTTAATTATGTAAGTGACAAATTAAGAGCCAATAAAGACACCGACTTCAATTTAGCCCCGAAAATCTACATAGGAAAATCGATGCTTTAACCAGAAAGTGGAAACCGAACGTGAATCTGTATCTACTCAGAAACTTAAATATTCTTCATTTTTTTCCGATGTTTTAGCTCCAGGCACAAAGACATGAGGATATTTTTCACTTAAGTGTTACCATCAGTTACTGCAATTATCACCTGTCCGCTTACTAGTCGGTTCCTCGTACTTTTTTCTTAGTAAATGATCATTCTGGGTATCCAAACAAACTAAGTCTTTTAACTTTGCAATGTTTGGATCCTCATTCCCAACCATTGCAATATAACCAAACGTAACTTTCTTATAAATTTCCTGACACTAGTTTCTCTTTTTGATCACTTTGTGGAGTATCGTGGCTAGCAACCGTAGTCAAGCAAAGATCACGTGGGTGAAAAGTAAGAATAGAAAAACTTGTTCTTTATCAAGTGTTCAAGCTAAAAAATTTGAAAAATACTGAAAATGAAATGTTTAGAATTTTCACACAATTGTAAATGTTTAATACTTATATCTAGACAAATCACAAAAATAAAGTATTGCAAAGTATGATTTGGACTAAATCAAATAGGCACAAAGCTATGGTAAGAAACAACAAAGTTAACCTTTCTATAGTAATTTTTAACAGAAACCAGTAGAAATTAACAATCTGAAGCTTTATCCCACACCGTTTTTCATCTCTCATTACCACATTACATCAAAATATCGTTTACTAAAATAACCAATAAAGAACATTACCTGATGTCTTTCCGTATCCAATACAAAACACCGTTGCTTCTATTGTTTGAATAAAGCACCTCGTTTCCATAGATACCCAAACAAAAATTTCGAAGATTTGTTTATACTTGGAGACTATGGAATCATTATTCAAATAACTAATTCAAGATAAATCACTTTGGCTAGTGTAACTAAAGCCTAATCCGCAATAACTGAGTAATATAAAGTGAAACTTAACAATATCTTCTTTGTTTACATTCCATATAATAATAAATTTAAAAGTGAAGGAAAATGTTTGCAGTTAACAAACAACAAAAAATGTTCACTAGTGTACTATATTGTACCTCATGTAAGCTTTTGTTACTAGTTTATGGCATACTATCATTCTGGTCTTTTAGATTCTTGTAATTAGGACACGTTTTAGGAACACGTGATAAGCATTTCTCGTAGCAGTTGTATCCACATTCTGCGCATTTGAATCCTACAAAAAACACATTTTAAAATACAAAAGAGTTTTTGGTGGCAGGAGCCAAAATCTCACCACAAAACCTCGTCACGTTTACTCAAGGACTGAAAACACAAGTATCCGATGAGAGCGCGTCAAAGTCAACACAACATGCTTCTACAGATAAATATTCAGAACAAATTCGAACCAAATATGAAGATGTATTTACAGGTCTTGACTGTCTCTCAAAACTATATCACATGGAAGTGAACTCTGATGTACAGCCGGTCATTTATCCGCCACGAAATGTTCCGCATCCTCTTCGAGAGCATCTAGCAAAAACCCTCAAATATACGGTGAAGCAAGAAATTTTGGTAAAAGTCAATGAGTCGTTGGATTGCGTCAATTCAATGGTTACTGTCAAAAAAAGATGGAAGTTTACGCAGCTGTATTGATCCTAAAGACCTCAATATAGCTTTGAAAAGAGCATATTGTCAACTTCCGACAATAGAATAAATCATTGCTCGAATGCCAGGTGCATGTTTCTTCTCGAATCGGGCTATTGGCAAATACCTCTGGACGAAAAAAGCTCCAAGCTCACGACTTTCAATACATTGTTTGGGCGTTTTAGATTTACCTGAATGCCGTTTGGAATCCGAAGTGCTCAAGAAGTGTTTCACAAAAGAATACATGAAATCTTTAAAGATATAGCTAGAGTCAAAACAGACATCGATGACATATTTGTTTGGGGTAAAACACTTCAAGAACACGATGGGCGTCTCAAGGCAACGCTGGGTCGAGCTAGAGAGTGCAATCTAAAATTTAAGCTAGAAAAATGTCACTTTAGAAAAATAAGTGTGGTGTATATTGGACATCAGCTCACACACAAAGGTCTCAAACCAGATCCACAGTCTAGCATCTTAATATATTATGATGTAATGAAATCAGTTTATCTTCAAGTAGACGCCTCGAAGTCGGGACTAGGAGCAGTACTTGTTCAATAAAATAGACCAGTAGCATACGCTTGAAGATCTTTGACACAAGCAAAAACAAGATATGCACAGAGAGAAAAAGAATTGCTAGCGGTCGTGTTTGAGTGTAATCGCTTATATCAGTGCATTTATAACAAGCATGTCATCATATCAGATTCGGGTCATCAGCCACTGGAAACCATCAGCAAGAAATTGTTGGATAAATCATCTCTTCGCTTGCAAAGAATGCTACTGAATTTACAGCGGTTTGATAATGAGGTAAAATATAAACCGGGAACTGAATTATACATAGCAGATACGTTGTCCAGAGCCCATTTGTCAAATGTAAAATCAGAGGAAGAACACTTGATTTGGGTTATCAAGCGATTGCTATGATCTCAATGCTACCATTGTCTGACGGCAAACTAAGAGATATCACTGAAGAAACTAAGAAGGACGATATGATGAAAGAGCTAGTGAAAGTGATTACGGAAGCTTGGCCGAATAATAAGAAAAATCTTTCAATCTTCTTAAAACCATTATAAAGCTACAGAGAAGAACTGACAGTAATTTAAGGGGTGGTAATCAAAGGATAAAAGATGTTGATTCTACCCTCACCGCGAGGAAGTGTTTTAAATAAAATTCATCAAAGCCACATGGGCATTGAAAGAAGTAAACAGCGTGCTCATGAGCTGGTATACTAGCTAGGTATAAATAAAGATATTTAGACAGTTGTTGAAAATTGCTCAATTTGTGCTGAGTATAGATGCAGCAATCGAAAAAGCCTATGTTACCACATACAATACCTAAATACCCATGGCAGATTGTGGCAACAGACATGTCCTATTGGAATAATGATGATTACTTTCTGGTTGTGGACTATTACAGTAGATTCTGAGAGATATTTAAAACTACCAACTCAAAAAGTCCTGGAATAATAGTTATAATGAAAGCACTCTTCGCCCGACATGGAATTGCAGAAAACGTTAAATCCGACAATGGTCTATAACACTCTTCAAGAAAGTTTGCTAAATTTGCCAAAACGTGGGTTTCGAACACATAACGTCTAGAGCAGGGTATCCAGATTCGAATGGGGTAACGGAGAAAACGTTACAAATGGCAAAGTCCACTTGAACGAAAGCTCGAAGAGATAATCGCGATTTAAATTTAGCGATATTAGAGCAAAGAAATACACCAATTGATGACATTGGATCACCAGCGCAATTAATCATGGGAAGAAGACTCCGATCAAATATGCCATCCTTGACAAAACAACTTATTCCAAAAACAGTGAATCCAGAGATCATTCAAATAAAATTGGAAAAGAAGCAAAAACAGAAGAAAAAATGCTACGACAGATCGTCGAAATCCCTCGAAAACTTGATTGAGGGTGAAAATATTTATGTTGAAAGAGAAGGGAAAGGAAAACCAGCCGTTGTTATATTCAAAGCAGAAACCCCACGAAGTTATAATGTGAAAACATCTGAGGTGTAGAATATCGACGAAATAGAAGACATCTGAGGAAAACTAATGATCAAAATTTGCAGCCTGCCCTTCGTTTTCAATCAAAGAAAAATGAAGCAGACACAAAAGAACAAACCCAACTTAAGGAAACAAGAGTAAAAGATGAGCAATCGATTTGTTTAGCAGGAACGACTTTATCACCAATGAAGACAAGATCAGGATGTATCGTAAGTAAGCCAATACAATGAAAAGACTATGTTTAACCTTTAATATAAACATTTATAAAATCAGAACATTAGTTACATTACATAGGGAATAGTTAGTTAATCGTTCATTTAAACTAGAAAGAAATTAATAGAAAAATCAGACTGAAAAATACAAGGATAGCAGTTTTAAAAAAGAGGGTTGTAATATATTGATATAAAACATAATTAATATACATTTATGCCAATTCTTATCAACATAAGAAACCCGTACTCGTGTACATAAGTAGTAGTCTGACTGAAAGAGTCAGAGACGTATCAAGAAAAATAAAGAATATTGCACAGTCCAAAATGCGTAATTTTATAGTAAAATGTAAAATGTCCTTGAAAAAAAGCAAAACGAAAAAAACGAAACAAAAACTATTTACGAATGTGAGTAAAAGGAAAAACTCTCAGAAAAGAATTTGATTATGCTGACGATACAAAACTAAAAATGATTCATTTTTACTGACAAAAAATAGAAAGATGAAAGCCAACCCTTACAAAACAGCCAGGACGAGAAAGAAATCCAGCTTTGTTTCAGGTCAAATAATGCCGTATATAATAAACATTTTAATAACCTCACTTTCACGATCTTTACTTTACTACGGGCTTGGTTAGTGCAAAAGGACCTCGGTCCGTCCATAAAGACCACGAGCTCAGTTATTAAGGCTTAATATACATGAAAAAATTTCTCAATTCTTGTTGGCTCGTATATTACAATTTCATTGGATATTACTTTTCGTAACACCATAGCTTTCACACACGCAGCTAGAACAAGGTAACTAATATTGCCAGTATTCATATTTTTTCCAAACACGCCATGCAAACGGTGAATTGTAAGCTCGTTCACCAAAAAAAATTTACTTAAGCTTGTGCCAGCCATTGCATTTGCTTTGCTTACTTTAATTCAACTTTTACGCCTTTGAAATGTTTTATTTGATTGGCTCTTAGATCACTTCTTTCTTTGATTAACCAATCAGGAGCAAATTTTTTTTAAAAAAATTGCACTGTATTTCCTTTTTTCTGCACTGTGTTTCTTATTTTTTTCCACTAGTATTTACAATAAATTGCACTGCTTTTAATCAACCAATAAGAACTGAGAATTTTTTCATGTATATTATTACAGTGTAAAACAATATAACCAATCCAATGTTGGCTTCTGAGTTTTACATGAAAATGGCGATTGTAAAAAATGGACAAATGACCTTTGAATTTCAGTTTAACAATATTTAGCAATATTTGCACCTTTATGAAGAACGTCTTCAGCCAAATTATTTTTCTCGATATTACGAAAAGCAGCGGCAAGCTCTTCGTACTACAACTGCTTATTTTTTCGTGATTCAAACCAAAACTTTAGCATTTCAAACCCTTGCCAGATCACGTTACGATGATTTAATTCAATTTTTTTCATTTTCGCATCTTTGACATTCAGAAATATTGCCAAATTCTTCCATTTATCAGGAATTTCTTCGGCAAACTTTAGCAGAATTTTGTTTATTTCTGCAAAACAAACGCACATTTAAAAGCAAGTCAGTAAGACTTTTTACTTTGGAAGAAAATGATGGACATTCTACATCAACTATATAGATAAAAATAGCATGAGACTTGTTAAAATTTATCAAAGGCATGTCATGTTGATTTCAGTACAGCTATGGACAACAACATAATACTGCTTTTAGTAGTAATATGCCAAAATGCTAGCACCAAATTTGTTTGGCTACATTGGAAGTTTTATCAAATTGCGTTTGTTACAGTGAAATATGACTCGTAATTTTTGCATCATTTAAACTGCATAACTATGTAGCTATAAATTATCAGCCAACACTGATGATTGCCTAACATAAAATTCGAAAAAAAGCCTTTTTTTAAAGAATTTATTTATTACTTGTAACGTTTCGTCTTTACACAAGACATCATCAGATAGGTAATTAAAATGATCAAGTGTGAGTTTATATTTATATATTAGAAGTGTAGTTATGAGTGTTAGATTACAGTAAGGTGTGATGAACATGATATATATGTATATAAAAATATTATATAAAGTATGAGTGAAGATCTGATATGGAGTGTGAAATGGACGCAAAGCGTAGTGGGATATTTAGAAAAGTTTGGGTGGAATGGAAGTGCCTTTGAGAACAGGAGGCATTCATGGATCATTAAATCAAGAGTGTAAGGTGAGGATGAGATGATAGAGATGTTGTCAAAGGAAGCTCTGTGAACTGATATGTTAATGTGAGATAGGAGCAGGATTTAGTAGGGCATGATGACTTTTTTCTAGTCAGGGCGAAATTCCCTGGTGCTCGGAGGGACGTAGCTGATAAAGAGTTGGAGTTAAAAAATTGAGCAAGATATACTTAAATTGAAGTTATAGATTTTAATTCTACTCGTCATCATGATAAGCGAAGGCATAACATGCCTTTTCATATATCTATGTACCGTCAACTGGGGTTATTTGGGACAGTGGCGTAAATTGGTACGAATATTTAATGCTTTACATTCCATACTCTTTGACAAGCACTCAGTTGATTTATTTAAAAAATTCCTTTTGCACAAAGCCAGTAAGCTTTTTTTCTTTGCTCATTTGAGTGAAACATTTGAATAGTAATATTTTACCTCATAATTCTTGTATTTTTAAGATTTGTTGAAATTTGCTACATTTTTCAAGACACGAAAAAAATTTTGCTGTTGCGAGGCTTCGAAAATAGTAAAATTTACAAACACTGTAATTTTTTTTACACTATGTAACTCTTTGAATTTTAAGATAAACGGTTTAGTTTTCTGAGGACTAGTATTTTCGTCAGAGGATAGTTGTTGATTTAGAGGTTTGCACAGGGTAATTTGGGACATCCGTGGATTAACCACACCTCTTAAAGCTTGTACCTTATTCTTTAAAGCTCTGCCATGTGGCACTGCTTCGAAGGCTGCCATGTTGTATGTTACTTAGTTACGATTAAAAATTGAAATACGGATATTATGATTTCTGATCTGTAATTACTTGGCTAATTGTAGTTAAAGTGTATTTTTCCTGAAGTGTACCCTTTTTCCAATTCACCCCAGAAGCTTGCACATAAGAAAAACATAACTGGGAGAAGATTATAAAACATAAAGTGTCCCATATAATCTTGGCTGGTAAAAATTAAGAATATATAGCAAAATCAAAGGCTGTCCCAATTTCGTCCACATGGGGTAATTTGGGTCTCAAGCATATTTTTAAAAAGTTTAGAGACAAAATAAAATGAATGATGCAGTAATGAGGATGATGCAAAACTGTGATTATTTATTCAACTTTTACCCCCAAAACCTCTATTCATACTTCATGCCTTGGTACAATATTTCAAATGTATATGTAAAAACAGTCCCAAATAACCACAGTTGACGGTAATACTAATACAACAGGAATAACACCCGTGCATTTACGTATATGGTTTGCGTTAAATACTTCATAAGTAAATAGTTTGAGCCCGGGAGTATCGTTACATGTTTGTAAATGATGATCGTCCAGGTTAATAAAGTCCTGAGAAGGACTGTTTTTGCTGTTGTTGACTGACGTTTCGACAATCTTAGCCGGAGTCATCTTCAGAGTCAAATGAGGAGTAAACGTCAGGTTAGCCGTATTTGTTATCTCGTTCGTACGTCATTGTATTGTTTGTACAGGATATGTGTATTGTCATTGTGAATTAGTGTGAAGTAAAATATTTTATTTTTAGTTGTGATGTGTGATTTAGGTGTGATGTTTTTAGTTGTAATGTGTGGGTGTCAATTGTATATTGTCATTGTGGATTAGTGTGAAGTGAAATGTTTTTAGTTGACCGTTTGTTTGTATTGTGAATAAGTCATTTGTAAGGTGCCGGTAATTGCTGTGATCTGTTCAGTGGAGTTTGTATACCAACTTTCTAATGTAAGCCGTTGTCTATAACCAAAGACGAGATCAGAAGCAGGATAGCCCCCATTTTACAATCGTCGACCATACGTGACAACAACTTGACAAAAGACGAACAACAAGCACTCAAACGACTAAAATACGAGAACAACATTGTCATTTTACAAGCAGACAAAGGACGCGTGATGTGGTCATGGACAGGAATGATTACTTTAACAAAATGGACACCCTTTTTAACGACAGACAAACGTACAAACAACTCAAACGAGACCCAACACCATCACTAGTACGAAAAATTGACAGCAAGATCTTCTGTATGAGAAAATCTAACATTATATCTGAACGCATTTACTATCGACTCAGATGTTCAGTACCACGACCTCCCAGACTATACGGACTGCCAAAACTTCTCAAACCACAAATACCCATGCGACCAATTGTATCATTCTGTGGTTCGCATACTTACGAACTTTCAAAGTACTTCACTGACATACTGCAACCACTTACAAACAAATCAAAACACAAGCCATAATCCACTGAAACTTTCATTAAAAAACAGTGCACTGTACAAATACCGGACAACTATATACTAGTGTCTTTTGATGTGAAATCACTGTTCACCAGTATTCCACTTAATCTGGCACTCATTTGTACAAAAACCCTCATTACAAACACCACGGACGTGCTGCCATTACCAACAGAAGACATTATGGAGCTACTGGAGCTCTGCCTCACCTCGGCTTACTTCAAATACAAAGGAACACACTACAAACAATTACATGGGACAGCAATGGGCTCACCCGTTTCTGTTGTAGTTGCCGAAATAGTAATGCAATCTATAGAGGAACGGGCGTTCACGACACTACCTTTTTGGTTTCGCTACGTAGATGACACAATCACAGCACTATATGCAGACGACATTTATGGCTTTCATAATCACATCAACAAACAGAACAGCCACACACAATTTACCAAAGATGTCGAAGAAAACGGAATTGTTCCTTTTCTCGACTGTTTGGTAAAACATGACAATCAAAAACTACGAACAACAGCTTATCGCAAGCCAACACATACTGCCGACTACTAGACCAATCATCTTACAAACCTACATCACACAAAGCCACCACAATCAGAACATTAAAAAGACGTGCACAAATCATATGTGATTCACCGGACGCTATAAACTACCAAAACAAACTATCTCAAACGTGCTTTTGACAAAAACAATTATAACTCTGACTTTATCACACGCAACACTTACAAACCCAACGAACCCAATGAAACGAACAACTCAGTGACAACAGCAACGATACCTTACATCAAAGGTACGTCTGAGACTATCTCGCGTATCTTATGACCATACAACATACGTGTCGCACATAAACCAATCACAAAGTTACGACAAGTACTAACGAACATAAAGGACAATGGATCAAACTTGGAACAAACCCCCCTGAACAGATCACAGCAATTACCGGCACCTTACAAACGTCTTATTCACAATACAAACAAACGATCAACTAAAAACATTAAATATTAATTCACAATAACAATACACAATTGAAACCCACACATTACAACTAAAAACATCACACCTAAATCACACATCACAACTAACAATAAAATATTTCACTTCACACTAATTCACAATGACAATACACATTTCTTGTACACACAATACAATGACGTAAGAACCAGATGACAAAAAATGCTAACCTGACGTTTACTCCTCATTTGACTCTGAAGATGACTCCGTCTAAGGTTGTCGAAACGTCAGTCAACAACAACAAAAACAGTCCTTCTCAGGACTTTATTAACCTGGACGATCATCATTTACAAACATGTAAATACTGCATGTTGAATTTTTATTCTTTTGATGCTACTTGTTCGTTCCTTACTCATGGCAAGAAAGATATACAATCAAATTTTGCCTTAAGAAATTTTCAGCTTTTAAATTTACTGCTTGCAAAGAGCTTCACATATTTCACACGTAACAAACCGCAAATAGTGCAACCTAGTGCAAATATGAAAAAGTTGGTTGAACTAAATTGTTTCAAGCGTAAATGTTGTCATGCCAGTGTTTATTGTCTTAAGATAAAAAATATGCACGGAAGTGTTTTGCTCCAAAGGTTTATGCTATGTTTTTATATTGTCTTTTAATTTTTTATACGTTTAATACTGTGCGTTAACAAAAAATTGGAGCATAAAGAAGGTAACGCAGACATGTTCTAAGATTTGAATCTCACTTTATGTGGGAAACTATTTGGTTTCAGCAAAGAGTTTTTGGTGGGATAGGTTATTTATGTAGTCAAAATGATTATTTTCAAATTTGATTTAAAATAGTTGTGATATTAACATTGTCAATAAAGAATACAATTTAATTAATTTCGTTTTCTTCTTCAATATTTTCCCCTATAAAACTGTATCTCTTTTTGGGAAGGAATAGGGAAAAGTGAGACACCTGGATGTGCTTTACGTTTGAGGTTTGTGTATAAAATTCGTTATAATCAATGCTGGTTTTTTAAAGTATCTTAGTATCACAAAAGTAATATGTGTTATTTGAAATAATAGAATCTAAAAATAACACCAAATTTGTAATGTTTCGCGTTATCTGTGATTGCAAAATGTTCTAACCGCTTAGTTTCTTAACAATGAACAATCTTTATAAACAAAAGTCAAAGGATATTTTAAGAATTAATGGAATCAACTTCATCAGGACTCCAAGTACGTTCATGATTTCCCCTCTTTTTGACTATTAAAGAGTTCATTTAATAAAGCTCCAAATTTTGTATATTTACGTTCTAATATAATAAGCATACCTTCTTTTTTCTCCGTATGAACGTGTAAATTTGAAGGGTCTTTACCATCAGCAGCATCATCAGACTTTATTTCTTTGAAAAAGATATAAAAGTAGAGCAAGTGACCATAGCACAAAATAGAAGGGTGCGTTTTATAATAAATATGTGTCTGGGGAAATACTGAGTTAAGTGGAGTTTATAAAATTTACTGGATTAAATAAAAAAAAACCAAGAATCAATTCTTCAAGTAAATTATTAGAAATTAGCTACACATTCTTTCCAAGGATAAAGATATATATCAATCTAGGTTTTTAAAGTAATAAACAATTTTATAAAATCCAAGTATTGTAAATGTGGTATTTTTCATAAAATATTCAAAATGAAAAACAGGAAATATGTAAAACTTTATTTATGTCATAATTTTTACTTAGGTTTTTTTAATTGTTCTAATTTTTACAAACAAAATTTAAAAGCAATTAGTAAAACTCGTTAAATATAGAAATAACAAAATATATTTGTAATAAAATAACTTGCCCCAGCCTTGTAGCTATAATAAAGAGCAAAAAGAATTTTAAATAGAGTACTTGAGATTTTTTTAAAGCATACGTTTGTATTAAGTAAAAAGGAGATATATCAAAAAAGAAAAATAGTTGAACCAGGGCAAAGTAAAACAAATTGTATTTTAGCATATCAATTTAAAAGGTTTAAGAGTAAAAGGCTCTCAGTAGTTTCTAGCCCTTAACTGCAAACCAAATATTAAAGCATAAGATGGAAAGAAAACATTTTTTTGTTTTCTTTCCATCTTATGAAAACATCAACAAAAAATATTTTGCTAAAAACAAATTTTAATTGCATGTGTCGTTGTTTCTTAGTTGTTTAGTTTTATTTATATGTTAAAAGAGATTTAAAATATTTTTGCTCTTAAAAACATATTGAAGTGCATTACATTGTTCTAAGTTTTTCATCAAACTTTAGGAAAAAAATCTTTTTTATCCATTTTAAGATAGCTCTACAAATGGACTATATATAAGAGAACTTAACTAGATAAATGCTCAAGATGGTTGAACGGCCAAAAATAGGATCATTACTCCAAATGAATCCCAATTTCACCAGAAACATCTTTAACTAATTTTGTAAATATTCTTAAATATGTTTTTTCAGTTCAGATCTAGCCAAACATAATAAAAGAAGAATTCATGATTTGTAAACACAAAAGACCAAAACTATTTTGTCTGAAATTTCAAAAAACCTCAAAAGTTACACTTAAAACGCTTATATATGCTCTAATATACAAAAATAAAGAATAACATACCAAAACTGCTCAAAGATTCAGCAGCAACAACATGATCCGAAGCAACGGATTTTTTTTTAATTGCCTGCGCTTTTTCATAAAATTCTTCTGCTTTGTCATATTCTTTAATAAAATGGTACACATTGCTAAGATCGTTTAAAGTCGTAGCTACATCAACATGTTCTGGACCAAGTGATTTTTGTCGAATTTCAAGCGCTTTTTCATAACATTCTTTGGCTTTGTCATATTCTTTAGTACGACGATACACATTGCCAAGGTCGTTTAAAGTCGTAGCTACATCAACATGTTCAGTACCAAGTGATTTTTTTCGAATTTCTAACGCTTTTTCATAACACACTTTGGCTTTAGCATATTTTTTGGTCTCATAGTACACTTCACCAAGATTTTCTAAAGTCATAGCTCCATCAAATTGTTCAGGACCCAGTGATTTTTGTCCAATTTCAATCGCTTTTTTATAACACTCTTTGGCTTTGGCAACATGTTTGGTCTTATAATACACATTACCAAGATCGTGTAAAGTCGAAGCTACGTCAACATGTTTAGGACCAAGTGATTTTTGTTCAATTTCTAACGCTTTTTCATAACACTCTTTGGACTTGTCATATTCTTTAGTACGACGATACACATTGCCAAGATCGTTTAAAGTCATAGCTACATCGACATGTTTAGAACCAGGTGATTTTTGACAAATTTCCCACGCTTTTTCATAACAATCTTTGGCTTTGGCATAATTGTTGGTCTCATAATACACATTACCAAGATCGTTTAAAGTCCAAGCTACATAAAAATGTTCAGGACCAAAAGATTTTTGTCGAATTTCCAACGCTTTTTCATGAAATTCTCTTGCTTTGTCATAATATGTAGTACAACAATACATATTACCAAGGTTGTTTAAAGTCGTAGCTACATCAACATGTTGAGGACCTAGTGATTTTTTTTTAATTTCCAACGCTTTTTCATAACATTCTTTGGCTTTGGCATATTTGTTGGTATCATAATAAACATTACCAAGAATGTTTAAAGTCGTAGCCACGTCAACATGTTCAGGACCTAGTGATTTTTGTCGAATTTCCAGCGCTTTTTCATAACATTCATTGGCTTTAGCATATTTGTTGATCACATAATACACATTACCAAGATTGTTTAAAGTCGTAGCTACATCAACATGATCAGGACCTAAAGATTTATTTCGAATTTCCAACGCTTTTTCATAACACTCTTTGGCTTTGTTAAAATTGTTGCTCTCAAAATACACATTACCAAGATTGTCAAACGTTGTAGCTACATCAACATGCTCAGGACCTAGTAAAGTTTTTTGAATTTCGAGACATTTCTTAAAACATTTCTTAGCTTTTTCGTATTTTCCGATTTTGTAATACTCCATGCCATGTTTGTTTGATATCTTAGCACCATTTTGCTGTTGTGATTCTTTTTTGAATTTAAAATAATTGAATATGAAATTCATTATCTTTCTGACATTTCCACCGCTAGAAAAAATTATTATAGTTCATGTACTTTTCATTGTTAACATATAGGCAATATAGGTTTACTTCGTTTTTATTTATTATTATTTTAATTTTTAATGTTTACCGTCTATGGCCTGCCTTGACAATTCTGAAACATTTATGAAGCCAAATAACAGTTAACTCTCTGATCTGATAAAAGACTGGTTATATAGTTTCTGTAGGTATCACAAAAGTGAAACCCGATAACACATGCGACGATACGACAAATTAGATTCTTGCACGGACAGTTTTTAAATGGAGACATTTCATGACCATAGGAAACATTTTGATGTCAAATTGAATTGAATAACTTGTTCTACCCATGACATATATTTTTTATTAATAAAAAAGTTGTGGAAGTAAAATATTCAAAAATCTACGTTGGGAATCGTTCTCTGCGAACATTCCTATTTGCTATTTGAATCTTGTACGGTTGGAAAAGAAAATAATAATCTGGTGTAACTTTGTTTATTCCCATTCTGCTATTTTGACGCAATTAGCTCAGCATGTTCTATGTGTTAATAACACACTTTTCAGTAGTGTTTAATATGATGTTCTAGCGTCAATAGTGAGCTTTAGTAAGTGTGTACTAATATATATTGCGACTTAATTCAAGTACGACTTCGAAGTTTGACCGTTTGCTGGATTGGCTCGAGAAAGTTTGTTGTCGTTGTTGCTTCAGCAAAACTTTATTTCAGTTATAAAAAAAGACTGAGTTTTTTTCTCTGAAAACCACCGAGTTTTGTAAAGCATTTAGCTCTAGCTACGGCTTTATTTGTTAATATGTAATAATGATTCTGCTAGAATATAGGACTCTTTATAGACAGAAAAATCTTTACTAATTTACATTTTATGTTTTACACATTTGTAGTTTTTTACTGCTTGTTTACATTTTCATTTGCATTTGAGATGCATGGAAGTAAACAAAGTTTTTTTCATGAAGCTGTTCTATCAAGGCATTTCTGAGTTGCAGAAATATCACAAAGTAAATTTTTTATATTGCTAAATAAATATTTACACTAGCTACATGGACAAAGTTTGACTTTACTGATTTAAACGTTGACAAATATTGATGGTGCTCGATATTGTTCATGGTCAACAATGTGAATTCTATTGTTGAATTGGTTCAAGTGAACCAATGTATGAGTTTGCTTTGCAAATAAGATATGATTAATTTATTAACAAATTTGTAAAAGTAGAATAGGTTTAAAAAACGAGTTTGGTGATTGTGTCTCAAGTATTGACAATGTAACAGTGAACCAAGAGGACGTTTAAACTTGGTAAACACATATTGCTATGAACATTTTCCATTCACTAGAATAAAAAATGATTCAGCCTTGGAAAGGTAATGATTCAAGAAAACACAATGTCTTTAGGCAACGAAAATCAAATGTGGAAAAAAAGCACACTTAAAATTAATGAGAATTATTTAGTTTAAATAGATCCAGACGCAACTTTGTTATTACGTATTTAAATGTTAACTGGTGCTTAAATAATGTGTGGCAAACATCTGTTACATTAAAGTAAATGGTTTAACCCGGGAGTATCATTATATGTTTATAAATGTAGATCGTCCAGGTTGGTATAGTCCAGAGAAGGACTGTTTTTGTTGTTGTTGACTAAGGTGCCAGTAATTGCTGTGATCTGTTCAGGGGGGGGGGGTTCCAAGTTGTTATACCAACTTTCGAATATAAGCCGTTGTCTATAGTCAGTACAGTAAGTAATGCATAAAGGACATAAAGGACAACAAACAACCCAACGAACGACAAGGTGCAGATTACAAAATAAACTTCTCCACTGACACGCCTCCTATATCGATAAAACTGGCAGGAACTTAAACATAAGACTTACTGAACACAAACGAGCTACTAAGAAACAAGACAAAACTAATCACATTGCCAAACATCACCAAATCACAAAGCACAATATTGACTGGGACTCGGCAAAATGCATTACTTACAGTACTGACTATAAACAATGGCTTACATTAGAAAGTAGTTATACCAACTTGGAACAAACCCCCCTGAACAGATCACAGCAATTACCGTCATATTATAAACGACTTATTCACAACACAAACAAACGGTCAACTAAAAGCATTACACTTCACACTAATTCGCAATGACAATACACAATTGACACCCACACATTACAATTAAAAACATCACACCTAAATCACACATCACAACTAAAAACATTTCACTTCACACCAATTCACAATGACCATACACAATTGACACCCACACAATTCCTGTACACACAATACAATGACGTAAGAACCAGATAACAAATACTGCTAACCTGACGTTTACTCCCCATTTGACTCTGAAGATGACTACAGCCAAGGTTGTCGAAACGTCAGTCAACAACAACAAAAACAGTCCTTCTCAGGACTTTATTAACTTGGACGATCATCATTTACAAACATGTAATCTGTTACATTACAAATATTGCTAAAACGTTATGAAAAGTCAGTCTCGAATAGGAGTCATTACTTCTGTTAATTGTCTCGCTACGCTAAAATGAACACAATCTTATTGGCGTAAACATGGATGTTTTTAAAATGAACGGTATCTTCACAAAAAAGCCTCATGAATCATTATTAGATTCATTGAATGGTTACTTTATCGTAAGTTTGGAAAGTTTGCATGCTTGTTGCAACATAAAACATTGCGACATTTGTATATGTACGTTTTGTACTCCTGCACTCGTTAGTCTTTGTAGTAAATAATACCTTTAAGTACACTTCAATTAATTTGAATTTATATAATTTAAAAGAAACGAAAACGTAAGAGATTCTATTTTGCCACTGTTCTACGTCACAAGGAAGTCATGTGAGATAGAGCGCGCGATATCAAGATCAGTTCAAGCGTAGGTTTCACAGCGATCAGTTACAAAAAGTTCCTTTTCACATTATATTACAAATTTTTTGAATTATGGCTTCTACAAAAGAAGAGTATACGACAAGAGATGATGTCAGAGATGAAGCAGCACTCCTGGGTTTTACTGAACACAATGAGCGAGATGACATGATGGAAGAAAGCGAAGAAGTGCAAGTCACATCAAAGAATTTGAGTGTGGCAACGGCCTTCTGTAGGATGAATAAAGCAATGACTGCAATGAGTGAATCACTCAGGTTAATGCAGCAAACGTCAGTATCCTCTACAGTAGAATCTACTCGTGAGAGGAGAGCAAGTGCTTTAATCCCTGAATCAGGTCATGACGCAGATTGTGAAGTCTTGTTGGCACAAAACGAAGAACCTTCGACCAAGCGTAATTCTAAAGTACAACAACTAGCAGTGGATCCGTTTCTAGAAGAGATTTCGCAGACTCTAGACGAAACTGAGAAAACTTTACTAATCGTCAACGAGAAGCTAGCCTCAATTATCAACCAACATTGGCTGAATAGGCTGAGAAAAGAGCAATTGAAGGAAAAACAGGCTAAATATTTTAGGCTGAAGAACTGCGATCGCCTTATTGTACCCAAGGTAAACCCCGAAATTCGGAGAACATTACACCGCACATCTAGAGGGCGTGATTTACAATTGAGTGCCATTCAATCAGCCCTGACAAATGTCGGTCATATAGCATCGAAAAGCACCAATAAACTGTTGATTGCCCGCAATAACAGCGGCGAACTGAATATTGATAATCTTGTTTGTATGAACGTTGATATCATAGCGATCCTGGGACATTTAAGTTTTGAATTGTCTCAAGGACAACGTGACGCTATACTTCCCAATCTCAATCGAAAATTTTGTACTTTATGCGCATCGCATGTTCACATTACGAAATATTTGTTTGGAGATGGATTGCAAACCCAAATTAAACACATTCGCACAACTAACAAGTTTGGCAACGCGACAACAAGCTCTTCTAATGCCACTTGGCAGAAACATTCCAACAAGGGAAACGATAATGGCGCCCTTTTTTAACCCGTCATCATAGAAACAACCCATACCAGTCGAAGAGGAAACAATTCGGGAAGAAACGATCGGACACAATGAACGATATGCGAATATTTGTGGCGACAGAACGAGCTGAGAAGATAAAACGCATGTGCCATGAGCTGCTATAAGCTTCTAACCCAAAAATAAAGGATGTTTCTCGGGTTTTGGGCACTCTAACTTCGAGCCTCCGGGGCCTGATGTACAGTCAGTTGCATTATCACTGGCGGGAAATGAATAAAAACGATGCCCTTAAGTTAAACCGGGGTAATTTTGACAAGACATTGACCCTTTCTTCCGAGGTCATACATGATTCACGATGGTTACAGTCATCAATATGCACGACTTACAGGCAATTTACTCACAATGAGCCTAGTATATGCCTATTTATCGGGGAACTCTTCTCTGATAGAGGCATTTCACCAGAGGCTTCTTAAATCATCCAGCAGTCTTGGCACAATGGTACCAAGAAGCAATATTCTACATACCTTCACCGTTAGCGATACTATTGCAACGCAAACAATATCGATCCTGTCGCGTCCTCTGTAGAAGAGGGCATTAATTTTCTTACAAAATTATACCAGGAAGCTTTATCCTGCAGCGATATTAATATTGCAATGAGTGCCTTATGTACAAATGCTACCAAGTGGCATCTCGTTTGGTACATATCCACTTGTTGCTAGGTTTGTTAAAAGTTTATTTTTTGCAAGACCAGCTCTTCCTAGATATGTCATGGTCTGGGACGTTTCAGTGATATTCAAACATCTTCGAAACCCTCAACCTCCAAAAGATCTTAATTTGAAATCATTAACACTAAAAACAGTAATGCTTTTTGTTTTATTATCTGGTCAGCGATGTCAAAAACTTCATGCATTGGATATTTCTCATATGGTGAAGAAAGAAGATCAAATATATTTTCATTTTCACCAACTGCTCAAAACATCTAAACCTAGTAAGCATGCTGCTCCTTTAGAATTTCGGGCTTATCCACCGAAGATTAGGTTATTTGTATTCAATTATTTGTCCCATTATCTAAATGCCACTGCAGCCATACAAAATAATGCAAGACAACTCCTATTGAGCTATCAAAAACCTTATCATTCGGTCACTTAAGCCATCATTTCCCGATGGTTAAAATACGTGTTAAAGGATGCTGGTATAAATACTGGCGTTTACAGTGCACACAGTACTAGAACTGCATCAACCTCTGCGGGAAACGCATTGAATATTTCTATGGACACTATTATGAATGCAGCTACATGGCGTAATGAACAAACTTCTCAAACATTTATAATAAACCAATTGAGGCAGAGAACTTTGGCAATGATCTATTTTCTGAAATTTGTGAGTCAGAAAATGTGAAATTTCAATTTTATAATTTTGTTATTAGTTATTGATCATGTCCACATTGCTGTAGAATCTCATATGACTAACTAGTGACGTAGAACAGTGACGAAATAGAATTAGAAAATTAAACGAGACTTACCTGAAGTCGAAGTTTGATTAAAATTCTATGAGTTACTGTTAAGGAACTAGGAAGTCACACACCAAACTACTAACTTATTTCTTTTGAAATGATGTTAAATAATACTTGCTTTCCAATAAGTTTAAGGACGTTTGCAAATTTTTTAAAAACTAAACTTGATATCGCGCGCTCTATCTCAAATGACTTCTTAGTTCCTGAACAGTAACTCATAAAATTTTAATCAAACTTCGACTTCAGCTAAGTCTCTAAGTCTCGTTCAATTTTCTAATTCTAGGAATTTTTGACTTTAGTTAACAAAACCATATTTACAATCCTATAACCTACATTGAAACGTTGAAATTTACCAATGAACAAGCATTTACGTACTTGTTAGGAATGAAACTATAAGCTCTCACAATATATCTTATATATCTTTCCTGTTTTCTTACAACCTTTCGCCACCTTCAAAAATCTTCTGCTCTGCGTATGAGATGACTAATGTTTCAAAATCACTTTTTTTTCAATACAACTTCATAGTACACTGTTGTCAAGTTACTAGTCAGAAAAACGGTGGACTTAACGCATGCGCAAAGAATTATGCCAAGCATTACACAGTCAATGAGTGGGGCTTCGAAATCACTTTATACATATTCAAAGCCTCAGTTTCTCTCAACTGATTCTATGATTTGAAATACCTAGGAGAATATCTTGCCATAGATGGAGAAATGACTTTGCTGATGATTAGATAGAGTGTGATTTTTATGTCGCTCTCAATATGTGAATGTGAGTGAGCTTTTAGAATACGGGCATGGACTTCTTCAAGAATTTTTATTGCCGAAATAAATATAAATCTCAGAGCATCGACGACTTTTCCGTAAAGCAACTTCGTGAATATATCAGGAAATACATCACATTTTGGTCCGAAAGAAAAGGAGCAACGGAATATACAAAGCAATTAAGCTCCTTCGTAAGGAAGGAATTGTCTACGTTGAGTTTTAAATCGTATGCACTCACCTACCATGAAGTAGTTTATCTAAATTATATATAATTCACATGTCGTCGTATAGATGGCTTAGACGCAAATAAGACATTGAAAAGGCTTAGTGTAAAAGCTCAAATAAAATATTTTATTTTTGAAATACATAAAATTCAGTCAAAATTTATGTATATTCATTTAATGGTGGATTCAAATTTATATTCGAAGACTAATAAATACAACGCTTAATTTCGCCTTATTTTATTATAACTATAAATTCATGTTATGAATAATTTTTCTTGATTTTTAAAACGTCGTATCGTCCGACTACCGGTCTGCTTTCAAACTTAAAATCGTCGAATCATGTTTCCCTTTAATCATAACTCACTGCTTTAAAAGAACGCACGACAAGTAATTGTTAAATGATTATTGAGTACTATTGGTTTTGTAAGAATTTTAACGCTTGGGAATTAAAGCAAGCTAAGAATATATTCAAAGTCCGAAATAATTAAAATTACAGATAAAATAACTGATCATCTATGACGTATAGTAATTACAACTTTATTTATTTTTTGTGTATCATACCTTGAACTGATAACGACTTCAACTTTCTTTAATTCATCTCATAAAAACATCATACGCACCTTTAATTCCGTGTATAATAAATGTTTTAATGCAAAGGAATTTGAGCCATCGTAGGAATATATTGTTATGCAAAGCAAGAGTATTACACCATATGATTTTTATTGTTGTTAATCATAACATTTTTTAAATAATATAGGGAGCATTGATTGCACAAAACATTACATGTATATTTGAATTATAACTTTGCGATGTTTTTATCGTAGTGCATATGCTTGCTTTAATAATTTGATCATTTCTCTAGTACTTATAATTAAATGTTATTTATAAATTAATTTGCACAGCAAGAGTGTAAATGCTGATATATTTTAACATAATAATGAAATGCCGGCTGAAAATTGCAACACACAAACTTGTTTAATTATTCAAGAAATTTGAAAGAAACATAAACAAAACAAATGTATTATGTCTTCGTTTTATTATATATGAACATGAAAATAGCAAGCAAAACACTTATTGACGATTTTAATTAAACAACCTAAAATCCAAATGTTCTTTAAATAGTGGCAAACATTAGATGTACTGACTATGTATGAGCAATATGCAATTTTCCGAAAATTTTGCTAAAAGGTCAGAACGTTACCTCCCCAGCGACTTTTCATATTATTTAGCTTCCCTAATACGAAGTATAGTCTACAACCACAAAGCAAACGAGAGTCTTCACGTCCTCCATCATATTTTGACCTGCTGCATCCAAGCCATTTTCCTCATCCAGGTAATTCAATAGTGGTCATTATTAGAAGGAAATCTAGAAGCTTTTTTGAATGCGTGAGCATATTTTTTAGAACTGCACAGAACTTTTTAATCTGGCTTTTATTGTGACATGATTATTATATATATATATATATATATATATAAGTAGTTTAACTATATTGCCTGAGAACAACTTACAGGGTACAACTTATTGAGGACAATTTACGAGTCACAGCAAATTGAAGATAACTTATACGGCGGTGCACGTTCACAAAACAACACATTACAAGTCTTGGAGACAACGACTAAGCCTTTTTTGGCTTCTGTACCTTTAATCTGTTTAGAAAAACTATTGTGAATCATTATTGGAATCACGTACTCTAAATTCCTGATTGAACCGTCAAAGCTCTACGTATCCAAGCTTTGTAATTTTAGATATCCATTTCTTGGCTTCTTCCTCCGTCGCAGCATACAAATTATACAATCGTTTCTCTGTACGAAGCTACAGAAGCATATAAGGCAGTAAAAGTAGTCTTTAAGAAGAATAAGTATTTTACATGCATGATGGTTTCCATCGGTTTTATTTCAAAGATTTAAAAACAGGGTTCAATGTTATCTGCGTAAAATATTAAATTGCTTTTTCAATGTCAAGCTAAATCAACTAAAGTGGTAAAGAAAGGATCATCTTTATGCTTCAGGAAAAATTTAAAAGTTCATAAAAGATCTTATTACCATTATTTAATACTAGCCACGCTTGCATCGTTCACAGAAAATAACAAGCACTATAAACCAAATGGTTTTTCATACAAAAATTTAAACCAATCAAAATTCGTGATGATTTAGTGCACCTTGAAGCTTCAAACAAACAACACAGCGATGAAAGATACACAAATATATTTACTTACGTCGAAAAAAACTTGCTTCTCGTTTGCTAAAAATATCAACGAAATTCACAATTTTTATAAAAAAAAAATACGACAATACAATAACAGCACTTTTACAATCATGTTAACAGTTTTATCGTACAATTAAATACGTAATTGTTCCATTTTTTATATTATATATTTTTATATATAAAGGTCTTGTACACTCTAGCATATGTAAATTCTTATAGTTTAACTTGCCGAAGAAAAATTATATACGTCATCAGATTGACATGTATTTTGCAGGGGATCACAGCAATGTGATACAGGCAGCTATTCGAGTTAAGTTACTTACAAACGTAAGTTACTTAGTATTCAAAAATTGTAATCTTGAAGCTTATTTGTTTCTCACAATCAATATTCGTCCAAGGTTACCTTAACTTGTGGACTGATCCTGTCAGTCGGGTGTAGCTAACTAAGCTAAGTCATATCACTCACATGTGCATGCGATTGTAAAATTTGTATAGTAATTTCTATTTGTAAAACAGTGTACTAGGGTAAATGTTTGCTCATTAAGATGATCAAGAAGGGAATGGATAAGGACTCTAGTTTATCTTTTCAAGAAGGAAGCAAAGTATAGGTCTCATAAAAGCTAACATAGCCTACAATACATAGTTTAGCCACTGGATTGGCTGGTTTATTTCAGCTTTGTAACGTGGTACTTACCACATAATTTAAGAGTAATGTGTTACTACCATTTAAGAGTAATGTGTTAGAGTTACTTACCACTACCATTGTTTTCTTCTATTTCAGCAATATTGCAAACCACGCAACTTAATATTAAAGTTTAAATTGAACTTTAAAGAAAAATTCAATAAGAAGAGCAATCACTATACTATAAACGATTGAGGATATCCAAAACTTCGCTAGACAGTGCATTGCGGTAAGTAATAGGTTGCTTGAGGGCGACCAGGCAGGCAAGTCACCAGGCATGGTGTTTGAATAGACGTTTCAAATTGACTTATAGAGTCAATTTGAGCGTATTTTCACAATTAGCGTATAGAGTTCATTTAAGGAAGAGACTGGGTTGAGTGATCGCCTGCAAATTAAGCTTGCATTGGTCTAATATTCTAAGCTGTTTAGTTATGACTATTTTGAAGATATATTTGCAGGATTTTTTAAAGACTATGACTTCGATGATTCGCAAGCCAATTGCAATTTGCAAATACGCACGGATTTAATTAGTATAAATAGTTATTGCGGATTTAATAAAAACGACAAATTTTTTTAAAGTAGAGATGTTTCGACATCTCATGATGCAATCTTCAGAGTAAGTGAAATAATAAACTTTAACAACGCCTAAATAATAAATTTTAACGACGCCTAAATAATAAATTTTAACGACGCCTAAATAATAAATTTTAACGACGCTGGCTTAGCAACGCCTACCAGCTGTATATTCGAACACGGTTATCTATCATAGAGATTGTACCAAAGCGCATCGTCACGCAATTGCCACAGCTAACGAGTTAAAATAGTAATGATTTTACCTTATCTTATTTGTAAAGTTAATGCATTATAACAAAAAAGAAAAAAATATTGCTATTCATGCGATTAACTTCTCGTGCTTCTCATATACTACCCTCAATACAGTCGCAGAGTAGTCTGGAGCCAACGCTAGTTGTCATTTAAGGGTTGTTTATACGCAAAAGAATAATTCGCAGAATACTTCGCCAAAGTCTCTCACCCAGTTATCGCATTTATTACGGTATTGTAAAAACGCAAGTTAAAGCTAGTCGTCATTCAAGGGCAGCTCATACGCACTACGCCACAGTACTAGCATAATCTCGCAAAAGTCGTCGCTTACTCGGTGATCACACTAATTACGATGCTGTAACAACCGAACCCAACGCTAATACGGCGCTAATGTTTGATTTGTGTACGTCCTACTGCCTTATCTGCCAGCGTCGCATGGTAAATCCAGTGATAAGAGAATTTATCTCATTGAAGCAGCACAATTCGATGCTATACTCCTAACTACAATGGGTCAAAATTGTCAGATAACTCGCTGAGGGCAGAGGGAGTTGTAATTGACTTGGAGTGGCGAAATTCCTGCGGAATGTCACTATGGTGGTCAGGCTCTCAATGATTGGGATCACTTACGAACATGGTCAAGTTGGTCAAATGCAAACTGGCCGCAACCTCCCGTCTGGACCTCACCTTCCACACACGTAAGTACATTTAGTGACAACTGATATTAATTCCACGTCTTACCCTCCATTCCGCTTCCGTCGTTCCGTTCCCGCGTTTTACCACTACCCATTTATTCGGTTATGTAGACGTCAAATATCATCAAAATAAGTTAAGGAAGAGATTTTAAGTGTGGAATCAGACCCATACGAAAGTGCGTTTGAGTGTTCGTGATACGGTTTACTGGAGAGCTTTTGTTGCAATCTGTGTGCCGTCAAGTGGTCTTTATGAATTGAGCTGAGCATTGCACGCTTTTTTGTCGTTTTCATTTTGTTCAGCATGTTCAATGCTTTGTCGCTAAAACTAAATGTTCAACATTAAAAAACATTAACGTTATGTCAAAAAAATCAATTAATGGCAGAGTTCTCAGAAATTTTACGTGCATTTTCAACGATAACCAATGACAAAGAATTCACTGAACGTAAATTCATTTTTTGCTTTTCCACCTCGATGTGCAATGCTTTTACTGCTCTGGCTTGATGGTTCTTCTGCATCAATCAAATTCACTGTAACCTGAACTAAAGCACAAAAAATGCAAAAATAATTCGCCCTGCTTATCTATATAACTATAACGTAGTAAATACTTAACAATGAAAGAACACGTCATTGACGCTTGCACTCACATATATTAATGAGCTAATTAATTCAGAAATTAATTCTAACTTTAGACTCATGGCTTTGCAGCATTCGTCATATGCAGCCTTTCGGAGCGATTATCTTAGAATAGTATTACCTTAAGTACAGCAGCTACAGTATAAATGTATATAATGTATAATATTTACTCAACCACTTACACTGATCTTTAAACACTGGTAGCCAAATGTTGGCAGAATTGAGAGAGACGTCCTGGCTTGCAGCAATGTTCATGTATTGACTATAGGACTTTTTGTCATCTTTTGTCTCAATCTGATAATAATAACGGTGAAATGCTTTGTCGCCTTTTTTGTTGCCCAAAGATAAACAAGAACTTCTTTGGCAGTCTCGGGGACGTTAGGGTTTTTTAGCTCGTAAATATTGGCGTCTCCTGCCATATCCGGTAGCTCACCATAACTCTTTGCAAGCGGTGTATATGCCATTTTTACGAACTAAATGTTAACAGTTCACAATATGATTTTAAAGAATAGTTCTAATTTGCATTATCAATAAGTTTAGTTTTGCCAAAAAATGAATAAAAAGTACACGCCTTGGTTAATGGCTAAGGTCAGCTGGTGCAACAAATC